TCGCTCGGTGGTCGCTCCTTCTACTTCCGTTACGTATCACATCAACGCTAGCCTTCACTCACTTAGCCCATTACTTGGACTCGCCCACGGTCTCCTTTCACACCGTGGTACGTCTTACATACAGAAGTTGCCGCGCGATGCCGGTGACTCTGACAGCGGGCGCCAGAAGGCGGGAATTACAACCACTCCATTTCGTCCGTCAACGTTGAAAAGCTTAACGCCTTAACCTAGCTAAGCAATCGCGCCTTTGATATTCCTTGCGCGCGGGGCAAGGGATCCCGTATTCGTATCCTCCCGCTGCGTTGGAAGCAGTCGAACTACTAGCAGACGGCGGACGTGGAAAACGCGTCCAGCTAGGATGCACGCGTTCCGGCCAACGGTCGCTCAGCATGTTCCATAACACGCGTCGTATACACGGGGAGCGGGACAGCCTAGATGTTTCAACCGCTAACACAGCAATCATACGCGCTAACACTACAGTTGAGACGCCACATGAATGCGATCGAACATGTATGGGAAATGACGATTGCGATTTGCAAGCCTGCCTATAATGCAAAACCCTATCATATGCGGTGAGGCAACCGCTTTCGGAACGTGATCTCAAAATAGATCCCTTCCCCTCTGCCCGTCACTTTACACGCTCCCTGAGCTTCATCTACAAAGGGGCGACACGGCTCGCCGCATTATCAGCAAATCGATTTGACAGACGTCTCGCGATAGTCACTGCATTATTGAAACACGACTCTGCATCTCGTTACCTCTTATCGAATCACAAACTATGTGGCTTTAGCCTTCTGACATTTCGCTACCCATGTCTCATTTCAACCTCACTAACCGCTTCCGAGATCCTCGCTCGTGCTCCTGAGCGCCGCCCCGCCACGCGAGTCACTCTGCTCTTGTTCCTGACATGTGGCGCCACTGCGGCCCGGCAATGTGCGCGGCTGCCGAACAAGGGACTGGGTCGCCGCTGTCGATCTTCACATCACGAATTTCCGCAATAGAAATATCGAAATAGCAACGCGGTGATCATCGCCTTATGTTGAGCCCGACCTTATGGATGGTGGTCGCGATACGCGGCAGGCCCCTCCAAACCTTTGTCTCCCGCACACACCGCCTACCAACTTTACCAACTTCTGTCTGTCGGCTAAAGAGAGACCAATAGTCCCTGATGTTGACAAAATACCGATGATCTTCAACTCACCAATCGTCTCGTTTAGGGGCACCCGCGGCTCTGATCGCTTGCTCGGAACTTGTCGCAGCCGTGCTCTATGCTCCGCAACCATATTTTGACGTCTATCAAATCTTATTGATATGATATGCAAGTACGGACACGCCGTTGATGCTCGAACGGGAGTTGCAGAAGCGAGATGAGCTTTGGTCGCAGCCCTTGCCTGTGAGGGCGTTCAGCATATGGAACCCGCAGGCATCCCGCCAACTTTTCTCCGCTGACCTGCCGCACCAACAACTGTGCTCATATCGGATATGAGTAATCTATGCGATACCCATAGTATAGCCAGGCATAGTATACACCAAATGGAGAGCGAATCTTATGTCATGTTCTGGTAATGTATCGGCTCGTAGATCGGTACATGTTCCCCGTGAACATATAGACTGGGGGCTTGCTTATAGCTGACATGCGGCTCGGTACCCGCGATCTAGAGAAGAGAAGTTGTTTCCTGATCTACGTCTCTATTGCAGCGACTCCAGTACCATCGCTATGAGATTGGCCGACTATCTTACAAGTTCTTCAAGGGGATTGCATGAGTCTAGGAGGCACAACACGAAATACCGAGGCCTCCAACTCATGGTAGGATCATATCGTTTCGTGAACCAAGCCATTTCTAGAATATATAGTCGCGTTCGCTGTGTGGTGTTCTGGCTGGTCGGTTCCAGATGGAAAATTGACACCAAACTCTAGAGCCATTCGACACTGCTCAGAGTGGTCTGAACGTCTGTCGCATAGTGAAACCGCTTATAAATCCCCCGCCAGACCGGGCGAGCAAACAAATGTGTATCCAGCAGCCTTCCCCTACACAAGCACGTCTCAGCCTCGGTGACACCATGAAAGCACCCATCATGTCCACCAGACTCCTGTCCCACGCGTTCGGTAAACCATCCACAAGCCATCTGTACTTTTCTCTACCAAAATGCACATATACCCTTTTCAGACGACAGATCTACAGACCCTGAAGCGACGATGGTCGCTTACTGCGGCAGTAGCCGTGGTTGAGGAAGAAGCAAGACGGGAAAAGCCCTCTTCTAGCTTCCACGCTCGAGCACCAATGAGCCTATAATTAGGAATACGCTGAGAGAGACAAAGCTTCGGACTCCGATGTCCTTTCCATTCTTCTTTAGCACGCGGCACTCTTCGGAAGTAGGGCGTGTTGGGCCTGCTTTTGCGATTGCCCGAGCCGAGAAGATGTCGTGCTCAGCCAAAGCAATGCGGGTAGGAGAAAAAGGAACGAGGTACAGTGTCGTGTTCGTGCTCGTTGTCTAGAACGTCGGAACGTTGAGATCACATTTGCGCAAAAGAAGTCATTGTGGACAGAAGATTCGCATATCAATTTCTTTGGTTCCTCTCACAGTGAGATAATAACTCTTGAAGACTGGAATTCAGAACAGCCTTCACCAACTTAAGAACCACCTTGCGCCGTTGCTTACGTGTTCATTGCACCGAAGGTCAATCGTGACTTTTGTCCAAAAGAAAGAACCCTCTCCTGCACCTTTTCCGTCACTCCGTCCGGGCGGATTTTAGTTGTCCATGTAGGTGGACGAGTTGATGCCATCCTCGGGGAACTCAGGAAGCTCGACCTGGAAGCGCTCCTCGATCGACTTGAGGACAGCCTCGTCGTCTGGGCTGCTCACAAACGAGATACTGAGACCCTTGGTTCCGAAACGACCGGCACGACCGACGCGGTGGAGGTAGGCATCGGCCTTGTCGGGCATGTCGTAGTTGATGGCCACGTTGATGCGCTCGACGTCGATACCACGACCGAAGATGTCAGTGGAGACACAGATACGGGTCTGGAACTCCTTGAACTCCTTGTAGCGCTTGATACTAGAAAAATATTAGTTTTGAGCTAGCGAGTGGGGTACAGTTGAGTACATACCGCTCTTCTTGGCTGATGCCAGAGTGGACAGCAGTGCTGGGGAAGTTGCACTCGCGGAGAAGCTTGTCGAGCTCAGAGCAGCGCAGAGTCGAGCGAACGAAGATGATGACCTGGTTGAACTCCAAGCTGTCGAGAAGGTCGTTAAGCTTCCGGTTCTTCTCCTTCTCGTCAAGCTTCATGTAGTACTGCTGGAGACCGTGAAGCGTCAACTTCTTCTCGTCATCGACGTAGATCTCGAGCGGGTTCTGCATGAACTTCTTGCAGACAACGCGCACCTCCTTGTTGAGGGTGGCGGAGAACATCATCACCTGCTTGTGCTGGGGTGTAGCGCGGAAGATTGCTTGAACGTCGTTGCGCATGTCTGCAAAGTGTCAGCGGAAGTCAGTTGGGACAGACGATTTGTACTGACCGGGCTGGTCCAACATCTTGTCGCACTCATCGAGGACGAAGTGCTTCAGGTTGGCAAGGCGGAGATGCCTATCGCGGACGAGGGCGTTGATACGACCGGGAGTACCGACGATGATGTGAGGGTGGGTGTCCTTGTTGCTGAGGAGCTCGATGTCCTTCTGAACGGGGGTGCCTCCGTAGAAGACACCAACCTTGACGTCAGGCAAGAACTTGGCGAAGCGGTTGTATTCGTTGCGGATCTGGTAGGCCAACTCGCGGGTGTGGCACATGACCAGGATAGTGGCGGTACCGGGTTCCGGCTTCTCGTCCATCTGCTGGAGGGTTGCGAGAACGAAGACGGCAGTCTTTCCGAGACCAGACTTGGCCTGGCAGAGGACATCGTTTCCTAGGATGGCCTGGGGAATGGTAACTTGCTGGACTGTAGGGCACACGTTATGTCAGAATGGTCTTTAAAACGGTCGAAACGAAGCGTGGGAAGCGAAGCGTCCGTCCATCTTGTGTAGCCGAGGTTTTCCATCTAGCGCGCGTGCCAGTCTGTCTATCCTCCCCATACGCTCAATGGTGTGCCTCCTCCTGTACACCTGCAACATGCACTCCTCCTCTGAAACCAGTCCTTCGGGACCACGGTAGTGAGCCAATAGGCACCACTGGCTTCTCGATGCATATACCGGTGCGCCTGCAAGAATGCAGTGCGCGTCGACGCTCGTAGGTAGCGGAAGGCACTCGGTCCCTCGCCACTTTGCTCGAATATAGACAGACCAGGCCGCATTACAGATAGTACTCGTTTCGTAGATGGACAGACGCTTGTAGGTGGATAAGGCTGAGGGGAATTATTAGACTAACCCTCGGAAGGATGTTCGAAGCCACAGTCCGTGATTGCTCGTACGAGCTCGTCCTTGAGCAAGAAGTCGCGGAAACCGGTCGAGTGGATGCCGACGTAGCTGCCCTTCTTGTCGCCTGCAGCATCACCGGCGGTGACGCCGCCCTTGGTTGCAGCTGCGCTGCCGTTGGCGGGCGCATCAGTCGTCTGGATCTCCTCGTCGGAGTAGTCGATGAGATCTTCCTCGTGAGACATGATGGATTATGTGTCCGTGTAGGAGTGTGTGTGGTGTGTAGAGTCGGTGATTGCGCGTGTCGCAAGTAAGGCTGCCAAACAAAGTGGAGTCGCGACGGTACCGAGGCGAGGTATTATACTAAGAGCTACGAGTAGAAGAGATCAGCGGTTGTTTCGCGATTTCACGGTAACGCGAATTCGACGAGGTTGCTGTGGCTTGAGAGGTTCGTGGTGGGCGGTGGACAAGAGCGGTCGCCGGTCGCTCATGTCGAGGTAAAAAGCTCGGGGCGCCTTGCTGGGCGCGCACTAGGCCGCAAGCGGACTGCTCTGAATCACGACCCACCACTGCCAAATCCTCTGATCTTCTATCATCTATCTGTGGAACCGTAATCTACGTACAGGACCAGACGACAATACAGCACAGCATCATGAGCAAGGTCAAAGCACCAAAGACGAAGGGCATACCGAACAAGCATCTGCACGCCCGCTCGACTTTTCTCTACCAAGCAGCCACATATCTGACGCTGCAAACGGCTACGCAAGAGGACGTCGCAGCTGATGTCGCACGAGACAAAGACGATGGATCGATCGAGACCCAGCGACATTCGCCGCTGGCACTCGAACTCGGATCCGATCTTCAACAGGTATCACGGAAAGGCCAGCTACGGCTGGCTGTCGACTTGAAGCGCTCCATGTGCAAAAGTTGTAATACAGTCCTTGTTCCTGGACGCACTCTTACTCAAAATATTGAAAATCCCAGCAAGGGCGGTAAGAAGCCTTGGGCAGATGTACTCGTCATTACTTGTCTCAATTGTGGCGGAAAGAAGCGGTTTCCGGTGGGCGCAACGAAACAACTCAAGAAGGCTAAGAGGATCGCAACGCATACAAGTTCGTTGTCAAAAACTACTTCGGAAGATGGCCAATGCTCAGAAACTACCTTTGCGACGGGCACTGACTGACTTGACGTCACGTTGTGGTTTATTCCACTCATTTGCTACATGCCACGCCGGAATCGCTCAATTGAGGAACCCATGAAGGCCTCCAGAACTCCCGAATCGATTCACCAAGGGATGTTTGAAAGCTGCTATGGCTCAGACCACGGAGATCACAGTGAAATACACAGGAGCATTTGCCGCCTCTGAACTATGGTCGTTCCACGCACGTCCAGTTACACCACGAGGGAATCTAAAGTTTCGCCTGGACAATTTCTCCAGTCAAAAAGCCAAGCGAAAACGTCGCATGAGAACAAGTGGATCTCCGCCAACCGCTCTCCTCAACGTAAACGGTCATGGATAGTCAAGCTCCCAAGGAAAGCATCTCGCTTCTCCAGTCTCTGCCACAAGAGATCCTTTCAAGCGTCTGCAGTTACCTACCGCAAGGGGCTCTCTACCAACTGACACTCGTCAACAAACACATCGGTCAGCGCGTAGTACCGGTCTTGTACAGTTCCTTCTGCCAAAATGGAGGCGACAGCATGCAAGTTCGACAGTACTTCAGAACCGCAGTGCGAGAGCCTGAGTTAGCTGAGCATCTTCGCGAGGTTACTATTCAGGGTTCTATCAGGATAACCCACAAGCAAGTGCGAAAATGCCTCCGGAAATTGGACAAAGAGAGCTGGGCTCATCGGCTTCACGAAAATCATCCTTACCTCGCTTACGATTATTTTTCGTATGGACCGGACTTGGCCATTGCTCTGTTACTGAGCTTGGAACCCAAGATACACTCTATTCGTGCTCTGCATCCTCCGAACCCCATAAAGAAAGGGAACTCATTTAAACTCCCCATCTATCTCGAACCCATTCGAGGCATTCTAGCAGCAGGCTCTCCACTGCCGCAATGGACCAATTATTTATCCACGTTAGAGATCACCCTTCGGACCACATCATGGCAGTGTATTGCCCCGCTGTTCCAGCTACCGGTACTCAAGACGCTGATTCTGAGTGGTGGAGGTGGATTCCACATGGCTACTAAAAATATGGAAGCTGCGATTCATTCGTCACCGATCGAAGTACTTGACTTTGAAAGGTGCGCGGTCCCATTGACGACCATTGCACAAGCTGTATCTGCTTGCAAGTCACTGCGTGTCCTACGACATAGCGACTGCGACCATTGGGCAGCACCTCATCATTTGCATTTACTCCAGCAGTTACATGAGCATGCGAGCACTCTGCGCACCCTCAAGACGTGCTGCTGGCATGCCCCCAAGAGCACTTCGACTGACGATGGGATCTTGACCAGCTTCATTGCTCTGATCGAGCTCGAAGTGCACTACTCTCATGCCGCGGATGACCTCCTGCCACCAAACCTCTGTCGGCTCGTCATATGCGCAACTACCCGCGACCGAGTATGCATCATGGAAGACATGGAAACACTAGCGCAAAAGCTCAGCAAGCGATCAAACATCGACGTAACACTGAAGTATCGGCACTACAGGAAGCCAAACTACGAGCTTCCAAAACTATGCGAACTGCCATCCGTGTTCGCCAAGTCTAATCTTAACCTGTCGCTTTACGTGTATCCTGTTGTCGGCTCATCATGTAAGTTGCCCGCAGTAACGTCCCTTTAGAACGAGCTAACAGTCAGAATAGGGTACTTGATCGCCAAGTTCGACCACCGCGCTGCATGGTCATCGCAGAGACCTAGCGAAACAGGCGCAAATGATTTGAGAGCTTGGTCGTGGCGATTAGATTGGACGTACGATTACCGGGGAATTGTGCTCGCGGAGATCAAAAATATGGTCGGAAAGCACGAGAACCTTTGGAAGAGCAAGGACTACGATCTCGACTTCATGCTACCGTATCTGTTTAGAAATCGGTACAAGGTCTGAGGAGAGTAGTCATTTGACACGAAGATGCGAACGGAAGGATGGATCTGTCACGAATGGGAAGGTGGATTGGAGCAGTAATGAATGGTAGCTCTTTCTCCAAACTGGACCTCGTTCTAAAAACAACATCAGCGCATCTCTACGGTCATCGTTCTGGTTAACTTCATCATCTACTACTCACCACTTATACCTCACCGCTCGTGAACATTCCAATTACGACTCATGAAACGCCCACCTATTGACCTACCACCCCTTCCGCCCCAAGACCCAGATTTCCTACATCTCAACCACAGCGCCTCCTCATGACCTCTAACAACTCTGGCGACGGCGACGGCAACGCCTTCGACCCCACAGCTAACAGCGAGGTCTACAATGAACGCCACACCGACGAAAACGTCCACAAGACCGGTGAAAGGATGACTACGCTCGATATCTGCATCCTCGTTACCTTAGCCCCCTTTGTGGCACTCGCGATCGCGCCCGATGTGGGAATCATTGTCGCAGGTGAGCAAATCACCGTACAGCGCTTTGTATAACGGCCTCTTTGCTAACCAAGTACCCAGAATTACTTAAAGCAGCTGGGCAGTCAGTCAAAGGCCGGATACGGGCGCATCAGGATTCAAGGGCCAGAAAGTGGCTGGGTGAAGCTGTCACTTGAGTGAGCAGGAGAGAGAAAGTGAACAGGTCATAGTCTTTATTTGCTTCGTCTATAATGCTGCGTTAGATTAGTCTTCCTCAATACAGCTATACATCTCTTTGGTGTAACGAGCTCTAAGACTAGACTAGAGATAAACGTTATTACCTTTGTATCTAGGCTGCTAAGAGTCGCTTAATTGTGCAAGTAAGTTCCATTCCACAATCATCGTAAAAGCCTTGTGCCGTGTACTCCATTCGCTTCACTTTCACCACTCACCACTCATATCTAACTCCGCCGCAGCTTCTTCAAAAGACACCAACGAACCACAGATCTTATCACCTCAGCGACCTCCAACTTGACATCTCAAAGCTTCGCATCCTACCTACAACAACCTGGAAAATACGAAGATGAACTCTGGCCCTCTACCCCCGGAAGCGTTCTGCCAGCTCCTCCCAGCCGCACTGATGGCGGGGGCTTGGGCACTTACGCCCATCTTCATTGTTGCTCCGCCTGCAGCTGCCCCAGTTCTCGCTCTCGCACTATCCTATGGTGGTAAAACTTAACCCCTCCCTTTGATTGTATGAAGTCAGAGACTAACAGATCGAAGTCCCAATTACTACGTCTTTGATAGCCATCACGGCGATGTGTGAAGAAGTCGTTCGAGCGGCAAATGAAAACCCCAACCAATACGAAGGACAGAAATGGCATCACTGGTAAGGATATCCCGTCGGAACTATCGTTTGCACTGTCGATGGTGAATGTGTGGAGATCAAAATACGGGAGTAAGAAGCTGATCTCACAGCTATTGTGGCATGGTGACCAGTACCTTGGGTCGATTACGATAAGCAAACCTCTGAACCAATCGCCAGACTTGCACACAAGCACAAAGCCGAAGGACATGTACAAAACTTCGATGGGAAGACGATGAGATCGAGTTATATGTATACATGTCATATACACATCTAGTATACTGCATGTGTGTTCCATCTCCTACACCCCCAACACACCCCTCAACCCCCTAACCTTCCCCCTCAAATCCCCATACCCTAGCCAAACAATCCCCTCCGCCATCTTCCACGCCTTCTCCCCCGCACCCTCCCCTCTCAACGGGATATCCATAGGCGGTGGAATCGCCGTCTTGATCCCAGCCCAAGCCCACCGATCCCTCGTAATACTCTTTTGATTGCACAGACTCCTCAGTCCCTCTTTACCCGCAAAGCGCCCATAGCCACTACCCTTTGTACCGCCAAACGGCATCTGAACCATGTAGTAGACTGCAAAGTCGTTGACGGCAACCATGCCGGCTTGGAGGGAGCGGACGACGAGTTCGAGGTCGCGGGTCGAGGTGCCGAAGACGGAGGAGCCGAGGGCGTAGGTGGTGCTGTTGGCGATTGTGATCGCGTCTGTGACGGATTCGGCGCGCATGAGGAGGAAGACGGGAGCGAAAAGTTCGGTTTGCGCGATCTTCATGGTTGGGGTTACGTCGGCGATGAAGGTGGGTGTGAAGTAGTGGCCTTGCGGGTAATCGGGGTGGGTGTAGCGTTTTCCACCTGCTAGTAGGCGGGCACCATTGTTGACGGCATCTTGGATGAGCTCTTCGAGCTTCGTGTAACTTGCGTCGGAAATCGATGCGCCGATATCGATGGGTGTGTCTGAGGTGTTGTTGAGAATGGATCCTGGACGGAGCGCGAGGATCTTGGGTGTGAGGTACTCGATGAAGCGGTCGTAGACTTTGGGTAGGGCGATTACGCGCTCGATGCCGATGCAGTTCTGACCTGCAGACTGGAATGTGCCCCTCATGAGGATACTGGCAACGCGCTTGAAGTCGCTGTTGGACAGATCATCCAGTACTATCGCCGGGTCTTTGCCGCCCAATTCCACGCACACTGGTGTTAATGCCTTCGCCGCCGATGCGCAGACATGGTGTGCTACTGGTCGCGATCCAATAAAGGTTATGTGTGATATCGACGGGTGCGAAGTAAGGTGATCGGCGACGTCAGGCCAGCAGACGACAGACTGGACGATGTCGGGCGAATGACCGCACGCTTCGAGAGCGCGTGTAGCAATCGAAGCGAAGTATGACGAAGACCAGGCAGTCGCTTCCGAGCCTTTGACTATGATGGCGTTGCCGGCGAAGATGGAGGCTATTACGGGGCTTATAAGGTTGTGGAAGGGGTAGCTAGAAGACTGTTAGCCGCCATGTTGAGATTCAGTAAAGTTTGACACTTACTTCCAGCTCACGCAAGCCGCAACGACGCCCAGCGGCTCATAAACAACCTCATTCCACTTGTACATCATGAGGAAGTTTGTGTCCCTCTTCTCAGCCTTGAGACTCTTTTCGCCGTGCTTGATGGTCCATCTCAGCTTCTCTACCGTCACCAGAATCTCGCCCAGGCTCGCATCCACCATAGTCTTGCCGGAGTCCAAACATGCGATCCGCGCAATCTCTTCTTGATTCTCCAGGATGAATTTGAGCATAGTGCGTAGCACCTTCCGCCGTCTGAGGAAGCTTGTCTGAGCCCATTGTACTTGGGCCGCCTTGGCTTTGGCGATTGCGCGGTCGATACCGTCGGCCGTGGAGGGGTTGATGCGCCCGAGGGCTTCACCAGTCGCGGGAGCGTAGCATTGGATCAGGGAAGAGCCTGGTACCTGCTTAAGTCAGCTACCGGAATCGAAACATAGGGAGTATATTTGTACCTTCAATTGCGGCTTCTCAAGCACCTGGCCCTTCCATCCTTTGCGTGCCTGTTCAGGTGTCTCAACTTCATAATTGACAGGCTCTTCGGGGTCAGCACGACAGGTAATCCAGATAAATGCAAGCGCAGCTATCCAGAGCGCGCCGTATAAAGGGACATTGAAGTCGTTGTCAGCGCGTGCGGTAATGCGGTCCATAGTGCCGATGACGGTCTGACCAGATGTCGCGAGGTCCAAGAAAGTCCGACCCTGGCCGCCTGGACCCTGAAACGCCATCCCAACGCGGATGCGCTAAGACGCGTGGTCATCTGAAACTACTGCAGGCGTCGAGGGCAAACTTCACCGAACGAATCACTCTTCCATCCCATTTGCAATTCCCATACTTACGCTCGGTCAGACAATCCCGAACGAATTGCATAGAGCTTCTCACTTACGCTGTTGGGCAATTTGAAAGAAGTGTTGATTGCAGTGGAAGACGTCCCGTAGCCACTCAGCGCACTCCTCTGTGAACGGTCGTCTATAAGCTTCTGTGGCAGCTGCATGAGTCGCGTTCTTGACTTCATCAGAGTTCAATGGCTTGTCACAACTTCTGCAATAGTAAGCAATTCATGCCAACGTACAATATGATCGGCAAGAAGAGTAGGTGTTTCACTGATGGTATTGTTCGTCATAAGATTTGATCTCATATATCATACATCCCTCATAGCCACGATTCCCTGTCCGTGGGCCTTGGTGCTATTCTGATCCCTCAACAACTTAACCCTTCGAACCCGCACTTACTTTGCGTTGTTCTTGGGCGCCTCGGTGGGTGGACCGTCCGGCGTGGTGTAACACCTGGTCATGCCACCATCGATGACGAAATCAGTGCCGTTGACGAAGCTGCTCTCATCGCTGGCAAGGAATAGGACACCCTGTGCCTGCTCGATAGCCTCACCGAAGCGACCAGTGGGGAAGTGGACTTCGCGACGGTGACGCTTAGCCTGGTCGTCACCGAGCCAATCTTGCAGGAGCGGTGTGCTGTTGCTGTTAGTATATCATAAGTAGTATACTGGTTGGGAGTAAACCTACTTCAACGGTGCTGGGCATAGCGCGTTGAACCTGAAACCCTCACGTGCGTGAACCATAGCCAACTCGCGTGTCATGGCCAGTACGGCACCCTTGCTGGCGGTGTATGCGAGCTGAGGTGTTGCGCTACCGACCAATGCGACAACACTAGCGGTGTTGATGACACTGGTCTTCTTCTTGCCGTTCTTCCTGAAGCTGTTGACTGCGTGCTTGCAGCCGAACCATACACCCTTGACGTTGATGGCTTGTGTCAGGTCCCAGATCTTCTCGGGTGTGTTGACAGCGTCATCGTCGTCTGAGTGCATAATGCCTGCGTTGTTGAACAGTACATCCAGCCCACCCCATGAGTCCACGTGCTCAACCATAGCCTGCACATCGGCCTCCTTGGAAACATCGGTAATCTTAGTCTCGACCTTCTTGGCCTCTGGGACTATCTCTTTCAGCTTGGCCGAAGCCTTCTCCAGAGCTGGACCGGAAATGTCGGAAAGAAGTACATTTGCGCCTTCCCGAGCAAAGAGAATGGCAGTCTCGAGACCGATACCGCTAGTGATTGTCAGTAGGTAGTTGCGGTATGCGGCATGATCCTGTATGTGCTGTTCCCCGCGCTGGAAAATGTACAAATCGGCGTTGAAGCCAGTAATGAAACATGGTCAAAAGGGTAGTCGACTGCAAAAGAAATGCTGGTAGGAAATGTGTCGTGGTACGTGCGGGATCGGTGCTTACCCAGCGCCTCCGGTGATGATGCAGTTCTTGCCTTCAAGACGACCCATGTTGAATGTTTTGTCTGATTATTGTGCTGGTAGAAGTGTAGTGAAGGTGCTGTATTGCGGTCAATGGATATGAAGGGTGAGGCAAAGTTTTGTGGAAGCTGTGAGATATGACTAATATTTTGCTAGAGGAAGCGTCATGAGAACAACACGCGGGCCTGTGAATGGGGAAGGTTTGCCAAAGGCGCAAACAGTCTCAGTCTCCACACTCACCTATGAATCGGACTTTGCAGTGCGGGCTGGCGTATGAGGAGCGTTGTCGGAATCGAGAGTGCGAGGAGATGGAGATGACGAACGGGTAGTCTCGGACAGCGCGCAAGTCATTCAAACATCAAGGGTCCCGAAATCGGCCCATTGCATTGATAGACTACGATAAGGGCGGGCTATCGCGTTGGCGGCTGTCATCTTTGGGCACACGACGAAGGAGCGGTGGGCGAAGGCACGATAGCAGCCTGGAATTAACATCTGTCCTACACGGCATGGATGCGCCAAACGCCGTTACACGTCAGGGCTGATGAAGTATGGCCACTACCCCGCCATGATGGATGACGTGCGTGCTTGCCCGTCTCTTGCATGCTGGCGCATCATCACGTTGTCGCATAGGGATTCATGTTGTCGCATTGGGAGGGTGTCGAGGTGTCGCGTAGGAGAGATAGCACACACACGCGTGACTATGCAAGATATAGCCTGTACGCGCATGCAAGGCCAGGCTATGATGTCGTTGGATGCATCGCAGCCCGCATCCCGATAACCCCTCATTGGCCCACCCCAGCTGTCCCGCCTATCGCATCCCAAACGCCTTGGGCCCTTAAGCTCTCTATCCGCGCAAACCTGATTGCGACGCGATATCTCTTACCAACGACACGACGCTCCTTTCACTCGTACGCTTCAACAGCTACATCTGTCCAGCCCCCTCCATCCTCACCATGGCCGCCGAATTCGATGCCTCCAAGCTGACGGCCGAGCAACTGCCCGAACTCCTCAAAAATGACCTCGCAGTCAAGGTCGCGGGCATCGATGTCGACGGCGTCTTGCGCGGAAAGCTCATGGCCAAGAAAAAGTTCCTCAGCATAGCCAACGAGGGCTTCGGATTCTGCAGCGTCATCTTCGGATGGGACATGCACGACCAGACATACTTCAAGGAGCTGGCCATCTCCAACAAGGAGAACGGATACCGCGACTTGCTCGCCATTCCCGACCTGACGTCCTTCCGGAGGATACCATGGGAGGACAACGTGCCTTTCTTCCTCATCAGTTTCCACGACCCGGACACCAAGGGCACCCTCAGCGCATGCCCAAGGAGTCTGTTGAAACGCGCCGTGGACAAGCTGAAGGAGAACGGTTATGGCGCTATGGCTGGTGGTGAGTTCAACGCCAGTTGAAGAGCGGGTGCTGCGCGTCGTCAATGAAGCTGATGTGTTACTGTGTAGCCGAGTACGAGTTCTACCAATTCCGCGCGCCCCAGAGCCACGATGGCTCAGAGAGGAACACGTCGAGCACCGCCGCCTTCTTGCGCGACAACCCCGTCAACTCGCTCCCAAGTCTTACCGAAGGCATGTTCGGATACAGCATCACGCGGCCTGTTCACAACCAGGAGTACTACTACGGCATCTTCAACACATGCGCCCAGTTTGGTTGTGGGATTGAGGGATGGCATACTGAGTCCGGCCCAGGCGTCTTTGAAGCGGTGGGTATATCAACTCGTGGGTACGGGCAAAGCAGACTGACATAGCATAGGCTCTCGAATTTGGCGAGATCCAGCAAATGGCGGACAAAGCGTCCCTCTTCAAACTCGTCGTCAAATCTCTCGGGTCGAAGTACGGCATAACACCATGCTTCATGGCAAAGCCGCGCGAAGGCCTCCCAGGAAACAGCGGTCACATGCACGTTTCCATCGTGGACAAAGAAAACAAGAACCTCTTCTACCGAGGTGAAGAGGACAAGAATGCGCCATACTCAGACATCGCGTACCTTTCGGACCTTGGTCGGCATTTCCTCGCTGGTTTGATCGACGGTCTCCCCGACATCATGCCTATTCTCGCACCCAATGTCAACAGCTACAAACGGCTGGTAGAGAACTTCTGGGCACCCGTCACCGTATCATGGGGTCTCGAACATCGCGCAGCATCCATCCGCCTCATCTCTCCTCCTACCTCTTCTGGTAAGGCAACACGCTTCGAAGTGCGCGTGCCAGGCGCAGATACAAACCCGCACTTCGTTCTCGCTGCCATTCTAGCTCTCGGCTGGCGAGGTATTGAGAAGAAGATGGAGATCAGCATACCGCCTCTAGGCAAGGGCGAAGATGTTGGCGGAGAGGCGGATAAGGGCGAGCGCCTCGCCAAGAGCCTGAAGGAGGCCACAGAGCGGTTCATGAGGAAAGAAAGTGTCGCGAGAGAGGTATTCGGCGATCAATTTGTGGACCACTTTGGCGGCACCAGGCAACATGAGATTAGGCTATGGGATGAAGCCGTGACTGACTGGGAAGTCAGAAGGTATATCGAGACGGTATAAGTTCTCGATTATAAGATAGGTAAGATTGAGGAAAGAGCTGGAACATTTCACAACGTAACCTACTGTTGATTCTACGATACCACATTCCTATCCGCGATACGCGTCGTTCTGCCTCAATATACCTTTTCCAAGAGTCAAATACCAGTTCCAAGGCTCGTATGCGAGTAGCCTCGGAAGTATTAACGCCCAGAGGAATATATCCGGGAGAATCTCCCGGTGCGTCATTAGCGGCAACAAGAAGTGACACTACACATGCAACTACCTGATCCTACCAAGCACTCCAAGCTTCACTAGAACACACGAGGCTACCCGTCGGCGAGCACTGCACCGAATACTTGAAGTCTGGGGTAGATCGCCGTTCACGATGCGGAGATATTTGATTGCGGGTGCAATTATCCGGCTAAGGCGTGCAAGAATCTTGGAAGGTATATAAGTCGACGATGTGATGAAGATAACGAAGCTCTTGAATGCGTTTGAACCGTCTGTAGTTCAAGATGAAGGCAATCAGCTTCGTTGTAGCATGCCTCGCCGCGCATGCAAGTGCTGCAGTACCAAAACGTAGTAACACAGTACTTTCTTCTAGTACGTCAATGATGCTTTCGTACTCCACACACACATGTCTTCTAACCGTCTCAATAAGATGCCCAAGATCTTTTCGACTGGTCTATGCACATTCAAGACAACCGCTATGACGCCTCTTACAACTTCATCCAGTACTCCGACAAGGGAGCATGGTCTGTTCGCTTCACAGCGTGGTATGTAGCCGGATTGTTGCACAGGAACCAGGGAGACGATGTGAAGCACGCAGAAGCCTCCATCAGGAATATGTACGTATCATTCGAACATAGGAGACTCGAAAGAGAAGAAGCTGTAGACTGACGATGAGAACAGACTGGCATGTCAAATGACAGAAGATTTCGACGCTCCGTGGTACGGAACATACAAGCTATCCCCTGATGAACCAGATCCAACGCCTGATTCAGGTTTATACGTACCGAAGATATACGTACGTTGGCCAGCATCTACCATCACAAGCCTCACCTCCCAAGCTAATACACTTGCCCCCAAAGACGACCTACGACCCTAACTGGCGCGACTTCATCGGCACGCAACTAATCCAAATCCTCTCCGAATTCTCCCCCCTCCTCGCCCCCTCCCTCATAACCTCCATCGAAGACTCGCTCGAAAAAGCCGCCGTGGGAAGTATGCGCCGCAACGGCACCTACCCCACAATCGACGACAACCTAACAATCGGCTACACGAACCCAGCTATGATGCGCGCTCTTCTCTGCGAATACATCGGCACCCGTCGATCCAACTCAACTTTCACGTCTTTCGCGGAAGACCAAGGAAAGAAGATATTACAATTATTCCAGAGAGAAGGCGCGGAGACGGTTAGCGAGTATAACGCGCCGACCTATTATGGTATCGATGTCTGGGCCATGGGCGCGCAGATCAAGTACGGTGTTGGTAATTCTAGCATGACTGAGGCTGCGAAGTATATCCTGCCGCGGATAATAGGTGATTTAGCAGAGCATTATAATGGGTATCTAGGGAATGTGGTGGGTCCGTATGATAGGGCGTATACGAGGGATATCACGCAGCATTCATCCGTCTTGTCCTTAGTGCTGTGGGGTCTTTGGGGCAGGGAGCGGACGAGCCAGCCGAAGAAGATGGAGGGGGATTTACTGTTTGATGTCGCTCAAGGAGCGGCTATGGCGCTTATCCTGGGGGGTGTGGAGGAGCTTTTTCCTGCGCATGTGGAAAAGGTGTTTACGACGAGGGACTTCATTGGTGAGCCGAGGTGGCTGAATCGAACGGTTTGGGATGAGCTCGAGGGAGGTGAACCGAGGATCGCGTCCAGTTGGGTGAGCAAAGAGTTGATGATTGGAGGACAACAGGTGGATGAAGATGTGAACAGAGGGGATCAGTTCGTTCCTGCTATTGTTCATTGGGCGGGTGATAAGGAGCATAAGCCTTATCCGCTTAACACCTTCTTCGCCCTTTACCCGTCTGCATCGTCGATCCACGCTGTCGCCTCGCCAAACCATCTCTCTGTTAGCTACCCGAACCGGACGCAGGAAGGAAGCGATATCTTTACGTTTGCGCTGTCGAATGTGCCGCCGAGTTGGACACTAGGCACTGGACGACGCATAACGGGGTTCGAGGATTTGCCGTGTGTGGAGATTGAGGTTGAGGCGGAGGGCTTGGTGAAGCAGAATGTGACGTATGGAACGGCGCTGAGGAACCACCTGTTCTACAACATTTCGTATGTGGTTCCGAAGGATTTCGAGGGTGTGCCGAGGGTGGAGTTGGATATCACGTATACGTGCTAGCTAGCTGGCGACGTATATTATATCGTAGCTATCCGTTCGAAGGGCGCGTATCTCCGGCATTGAACTTGTCGTGGTTTATGGCTCAAGCATCAGACCTCTTCCATCGCATCCTTCTCATGCTGCCCGAACAGCTCTTCGACCAGCCCCACAAACTCGGCCATGGCATCTTTCTCTCCCTCTTTCCCCTCCCCTTCTCTTATACCCTTCAACTCCTCCATCGCGTCCTTGTCTCCCTTCTTCTCATGCCCTCCCCTCCAACCTCCGTGTCCACCCCTCCATGCTCCTCGGCCCCTTCCTCTCATGCCTCTCCCCCGGGAAGCGTTCCGTTCGAGCATGCGCCGCCGGTTCTCAGCTTCTGGGTCTGGCTTTATTGTCTTGGCGTAAACGCGTTGGAGTGAAGGAAGTAATATTGGGTGTGTTTTGAGTAGCTCTTGGAATTTCGGATTCGTTGCTAAGACGGAGAAGTCGGTTCGCGTCTTTAGGTAGCGCGGTACTGGGGCGGGAGGAGGCGGTTGTGGGAGAGCTGGCTCTGCTGGCTTTGGGGCGACTGACGTGGTATCGGGATGCGTAGTCTTGTGCGATTTGAAGCACGATAATGAACAGCTATACACGATCAGTACTGGAGATATGTGAGGACCTCGGAGCTACAAAGCGTGGCATACTACGGGAGCGCGCAAGTAGGGCACTTATACTTCTTTGGCTCTGCGTTGCAGACGCCGCAAAAGACTTCCGACATTGTGCTATTTGTTGGCGGGGATCGCGACTTCAAATTTGGGGAGGAGAACACGAATGTGTGTTGTAACAATGTTGTGCTAGGGGTGTCGAAGATGACGTCCGCAACTCACTCGCGACTTTTGCGCTCCAAGACGCGTTCCCAATCGGGCTAAATCCCGCGGCGAACTTCCATTGCTCATCACTCCGCCGAGGTTTCGTCCATTGGCTCGTTGACTCTTACAACACAACATGTCTGCCGCATCGCCATTACGACAACTTCCCTCACGGTCGCTGGGATCCTGGACTTGCCTGTCATGCTCTCGCTCGCTCAATAGGATACCGCGCGCCCGCAATTCCGCCTTGACCGCACGAAGATGGATGAACAGCACAAATCCCGCGCGGCAGCATGGCACCGTGCCAAGAATGGACCAGATGCATGCGCAATATAAGATGAAGAACCGCACAGTCATGTATGTGCAAGTCCCTGGTGACGGAAGGCGCAATTGCTGACCAAGTATAGGAACTATGTCTTCAGTGTGATAATAGGCTTCACAGCACTCAGTTATGGCTCAGTACCGTTTTACAAGATGGTATGGTCATAGATCATCACCTTGTCGATAAGAACCCAATCTCACAAATTCTATAGATCTGCCAGGAGACAGGTTGGGGAGGCCAGCCTATAAAGTCAGCGGCCCACGGCGGCGATACTTCCGTGGATCCCTCCGAGCGTCTAAAGCCCGTCGAACACCACCCACGTATCCGAATCACATTCAACGGCTCCGTATCCGACGTCCTACCGTGGAAGTTCGTTCCTCAACAACGCGAAGTCCGAGTCCTCCCTGGCGAGACCGCCCTCGCATTCTACACCGCGACCAACAAATCGTCAGAAGATATCATTGGCGTAGCTACATATTCTGTCACACCAGGACAGGTCGCCCCATACTTCAGCAAAATCCAATGTTTTTGCTTCGAAGAGCAGAGACTAAATGCTGGGGAAACGGTGGACATGCCCGTCTTTTTCTACATCGATCCCGAATTCACAAAGGATATTAACATGAAGGGTATTGAGACCGTCACACTGAGCTACACGTTCTTCAAGGCGAAGTACGACAAAGACGGACATTTGACGCCTGTTCCTATGTGAGGAGGGATCGGGGTATGTACGATATGTGTACACAATACGTGCGGGAAAAGAATCCACAATGTAAGGCTGATGTAGGAATGCTATTCACCGAGCACCACAACCCTTTACCTAAGTCATTTTCAAGCCAATTTGGGTTCGATTACAATGACAACTTGTGCCGTTCACTACACTGCCGTTATGAAGTAGCATCGATCTATACAGTGCGGCACCAACTTCAACTTCATAAGTATCTGGCCAATTTGGACGGTCAAACAATTTTACACAGAGCAGGCCTCTCCACCCTCAACTTCAGACTCCACAGTAAACCCTTCTCCAGGAGCTACTCGCTTACACAACCCCACATGGATAGACATGCAGAAGAGAAAGAGCTTCGGGAAAGCTATTACATCCACTGCCGCAACAGGGGCTACACCATCGACGAAGCCTCTGAGCGCAGCCTCAAATACGTCGAGCGTGTTCTTAACGCAGATTCAATCATCTCGAAAAGATACCTAGAAGAGCTATATCAAGCGAGTGTAGCGCACCATAACTATTCATTGTCTCCACTCTCGTATGACGATGACCCGCCGATGCATAGCTCAAGGAGAGCCAGAGATGACGGTGGGTATGGTGCCTTTAGTGGGATCTCCGGTATGATGTGGAGTCTTCTTGACGACAATGACAGCACATTTGCAGAGATACGATCGCAAGCAGAAGAAGATTGGATGATACCAAGTGTACCAGAATACCGCGCTCCTCAGTACATCCCCTCGCATTACAACTACCAGGATAACGGCCGGGAGCCACAATGGCAACACGCGGAGGATCGGAGTACGCCGAGCTATCGCCGTCCGGATTACATCCCTTCTGCCTACGACTATCAGCGCCATGCTCAGCAATCGCGAGAAAACTCCGATAGATATACTGCTAGAGATTCTGGCCCGCAGCGTTCATTCTCTTATGGCCCACAGCGTGCATCCTCTTATGCTCCACAGCGTGCATCCTCTTATGGCCCGCAGCGTTCATCCTCTTATGTCCCTCGCAACCATGCATACGGCTGGCCTTCCTCCAGTAGTCAAGACCGCAGGCCACCTTCAGGCTATCGGTATTGGACTACAGAGTCGAGTCAACCCTCGTACTCTTCATCGCCCCCCAGCTACACATTCTACTCGTCGTCCGATTCGTACCCGACCAACTCTTCTTACTCTTTCCGCCCTAGCGCTCCACCTCGAACCTCTTATGCACCACCGCCGCCGCCATCATCATCTCAACGGCCAGCCACGCCACCTCCGCAGGGTATCAAACCCAAAACAGATCTTTATATCGTACTTGGTCTTAGCCGAAGCGCCACAGCTGCTGAAATCAAGAAAGCACACCGTTCTATGAGTCTAAAGTGGCATCCTGATCGCTGTCGTGGGCAAGACAAGAAGAAAGCTACTGAGAAGATGGCGGAGATAAATCAGGCGAATGATGTGTTGTGTGATGAGGTTAAGAGGAAGTTTTATGATAGATGGGGTGTGTTGCTTAGTGAGGTGTAGAAGAATCAAGACGGGATTCTAAAGATTGCAATGTTTTTGATCGAAGAAAGTGATCAGTTGATTTTCCATCCAGGGAGCTATGATGTTTGAGCCCCGTAGCGCTTCAGCGTTCGTAGTTTGCAGGTCCAAATGAGACGTACCTACGCTTTCTCGAGGTACGAATCGAGAGAAGGACAAAGGTCAGCACTCAGCTTTGGACGTACCCGTACCATGACCTTCAGCGCGTCTACCAAAACATCCCTAGGGTATCCTTCAATGTACTGTAACCAACCGACACCTTCGTCTGAGTCGACAAAAGCTTCGTACGCAATTCTCTCAGCAATAAAGCGCCGTAATTGTGATCCTGGAGGGGTGCCTTCGTAGATGATGTTGACACTCTCTGGTCCCATGTTCCAATTATAACTCTTTAGGGTGGCGAATATGGCCTTCATCACTGCTTCTTTGTACTGCAGATCGATGATCTTTTCCCCGAACACGTATGCGTCGGCAAGTAGGCAGTACGCTTTCTCCGCTGCTACAGCCTTCTTCTCACGTGTGTCTTCAGATGCTTCTTCAAGCTGGGTCTCTATTTTGTCATAGTATAGCCACTTGATGTAGTCGATGACCGTGTTCGCAGAATCCTCCGGAAGGTTGACGACGTTTTCTTCTTGAGTGGCCCACTCTAGCTTTATAGCATTCTTGAAAAATGCTGAGCTCTTGCAGAGGACACCACGGTGAACGTTGAGACACACTGTCTCTCCGACAGAACTTGGGACTACCAACTGGATGATCACGTCGGTCGGACTACATTTGTTAGTGACTGTGAGTAGATTCATAGAGTGCAGGATATAGTTACTCCATTCTGGCTGCTGCGTGGAACTGATGGTTTGTAGGTGCGGATACGATTTCTATTGTAATGCGTCGAGTTGCTTCTACGAGAATGCGAGGAAGCGTTCCGAAGAGGACAAAGCGACCGACTTATGTGCAGGGAAGGTGCAGTGGGACGCAAAGTTTGGGTGGGTGGCTGACTATTTGGTGTTCACACAGCAGTGAGGGCGAAATCGCAGCACAATTCACTGACCTTAAGTCTTTATACTGCGCGTTTACCCGCGGCAATGAAACCCAGAGCCCAAAATCTGCGAAGATCTGACAATCATGGTTTCACTGATTCGAGAGTATTCTCTGTTCGCGTGGAATGGTGATGTATTGCGGAAATTGTGTGTGTGGCTTATCACTCCGCGTCGTCACAGTACCAGTGGGTGAAGTGGGTAGTAACCAAATCATGTTAGAAGTTACGAATACTTCCAATCTTGTTCTAAGATCGTTCCTGCCACATCGCTATTCCGCTGACGCTTCCCAAATCGTGTGCATCTAGGGAAGTTCATGGACACTAGCCCCACCAACGAACACTCGACCATACGCCTCGCAGCCCAAGCCAATGCACGGCCTGTAGCTTGAACACTCTAACCTTCCACATCCTCTGCACCGTCGATGCCCTGCACTCCCCCCACAACCGGTGCACAAGAACGACTGCTCTCCATTGCTTGTACCCGCTGTCGCCTCATCTACAACCACATCCATTAGCCCTCCAACCACCACTATGACCGCTAATGCTACACAACGACTAGAGTTCGACCTTCCCATCGCTAGACAAAGGACTATATTCATTGCTGCCAGACACCCCACTCACCAGCACGTTCAGTATTCGAAGGTTCCTCTACATGCCCCGTTGGTGAAGGCGACAACGGTCTGCTAATGGTAGCGCGCATCTTCACACTTTTCTTGCTCTTCCTCGCGTCACTAGCACTGCCACCTTTCTGCGAAACCTTCCATCGTCTGACCCACTGCATCTCCCCATTTTGCCTCCTCGCCGTCTTCTCCATCATCCCAAGGTCTTTGCGGTCGCTGCAAAACACAAGGACCTCGAGCTGCAGAAGCGTACACTATATAGGCATATTTGATTGCCAAGCCATCCTTGGAATCTTCTGGAACAGTCTGCTCACACCGTTCAGACCCTGGCTAATATTGCAGCGCATAAGCGTTGTGTAATGAGGCCGAGCCAATCCAGCTTGCGATACACTGTCACGCGCATGGAAACTGATAAGCTGAGAAGTGCTAGTGTGTCTTCGGCTTAGGTTGGTGCCTAGTCTTTTGGCAGTTAGACTCATTTACCGCTTGTGCTATGCTGTTCACGTCGAGGCTTGACTCGAAGAGTACAGAAGTGAAATCCGTAACAGTTGAGCGCTTGCTCTCAGGCGAGATATCTATTTCGGTCACGTTAGACTGAGGCTGTGGACTTGCTTCTATCAAACTGACGGATCAATTCCCAAATACGTAGTAAGTGATGAAAACTATAGAAGCTTCGTTGATCTTCACTCTGGCCCATGAGATTTAGCTGATGCGTAAAGCAGCTTGCTGTACGCCTGATGCTGTACTTCTTTGTATCTAACGATCGTTTCTCCATCGCAGACAGCTTGAATTTCTTGTTAGAGTAGACGATGTCATTGTATTCTTCCAGCCCGTAACTGAGACTTATCCCTGCGGGAGGGAAGCCAATAATACAGCCTGGCTGATCTTGAGGTTCAGGCGCAGACGCGAACCCCGCTTCCATTCCACCTCGATCATAGGAAGGGCCATCGCATATCTTCAGTTCCAATTTACACTCCGCGATGACTACCGACATTGATGATATAACAGTTCGTGTTGGTGGAATGAAGTTAGGCGAAGACGCGTCCGACCATGTAGCCTCCCTTCCGCAAGCGTCTCGCTCACTTACTCGAGCTGATGAAGCCATCAACCTCCATACACGGGATATCGAGTCTGTAAACGGCGAGGCAGATTCTTCCAATATTCTGTCCACCACAGAGGCCTGTTCGCACCGTGATCTCATCGAAGTGCTTGTCGAATCTGCCAAAAGTCTGGACAAGGCTACCGGCATACTCGAAGAGGCCACAGAATGCATAATCCTCGAGACTCTGAAGTTACGCGGAAGCCGATCTACGAATTTTGGGGTTGACCTCTTATCACATTTTGATGGAGAGATCAGAGCAATCATCAGGGAGGTTCTCCATACCACCAAAGACGAAAACTTGCTTTGGAAAGCTGCGGAAGAGTGCTACAAGCAAGCCACCAGTTATTCGGGGAGTCTTCACGCCAGCAATTACTTTGAGTCTCCGGAAAAAGGCAAACGAGAGCACAAAATCCAGGATCATATGGAGAACGAACAGACTTGGGTCAATTACTGGCTCACAATCTTGAACAATGCACCCAACGGACCAACGTTGTTTTATCCACCGACAAGTTTCGACAGCCACTGGCTGAAGTTCGAAGACATCCCTCAATACCTGTTCCGGATCTTTGACGCAGCTATATTGGGAACTGATGGCGTTGTGCATTCCATCGAGAGCAGCATCGAACCGGAGGGAAACAGTCGAACCGATTTGTTGTCCTTGAGAAACGATCGAGCAACGACTTTGCTACACGCACACCTTAAAAAAACCTGTTTCTCACGGGAAACAGATAACCTGACATCCTGGACAAGCTCTTTGCTCTTCGCCATCCAATACGCACTCTACAGGCGACAATGCGGACAAGGCAATGCATCTGAGTACAAGATATGCGCCGCAGACACCAGGAAGTTTCCCCAAGGACAATTTGCACGAGACATCTGGTTGATTCAAAAGTACGAGTCCGATGGAGTGGGCCAAGCGCAAGATTTCTTCAACTTCCGTCTGAAATTTGTGGACTATTACAACGGCGAGTACCTTTCCCAAGGAGCGGTGAGCATTGCCGATCGATCATGCGTGACCTCCCTGAAGCAACTGGAAGAAGCTGGACTGTTCAAATTATATCCGGAATTCGAAGACGCTACAGGCAGAACATTATGGGCCAGAAGGGTACTTGAATTGCGCAGAGACTGGTCAGAAGAAAGAGGAACAGGCAAAAAAGAGATCAAGCTAGCGCTACAGGTGGCACGCACCTGCTTCCCTCAGCTTGCATCAGTGGATGTCGCCACCGCTCTACTCACATTTCGAAATCGGAAACTTCAGCCATCGGCACTGTCAGGTAAGTAAGCGCTTTCGACTTGATGTCAACTTTGTTATCATTATCAAAGAACTAAGAACCTCAAGACATCACTAGCCTCTTAGAACAAGAGCCGCCAGCATGGGCAGAGAAACCGATAGAAGTCCATCGATATTGGACTGCTATCGAAGCAGCCAAACATCGCGACATAACTCTCAACAGACAGAATGACATCTCTCTTCAACTAGATCCAGAAGTCGAACTCCTTAGCCACATCTTTCCTCGATAAGCACGGCTGCTTGTTTTACAGAACCAGCTGCCGTCAGCGACGCGTCAGGCTGGCAAGCCACGTCAATATAATGGGGTTTCAGGCTTTTGTTCCCGCGATGCGAAGATGGCCGAGAACCACTAGGAGTAGTCGAATCTTTAGAATTGTAATCGAGACGACGGGAATGATAAATAGAAGGTGGCTGTTCGACTACCGTCTTCCGCTCTCTCGTTGCATGGTCTTGCCCAGCGGATCGAGCACTCAGCGCGTCTGGGGTAGATCTGATCGACCAGGCTTGGGTACGAGTACGGGACGATGCGCTCGGTTTGCGATCTTTGGGATGGCTTGCGTCACTCCGCGAACTACTCATGCCGTTTGCAATCTTCGGTTGTGGGCGTGATGTTTGAACTGAGGCGAGTGCAGCTGCATCGCGCACAGCCTTCTCTCTGCAGTCCTCGTACCATTTCCTGTGATTTTTCTGAATCTCTTCTCTCTTCCTTTCCTCTTCTTCTCTGTGAAAGTCTCTGGATGTGCGATGAGCGTAGCTTTGTCCTGAATCGAAATTCTTGTAACTATCTTCACCTTGGTCACGCGACACATGAGAGGTGGAACTGGTCGATGAGGCCTGGGTACGAGTGCTGGATGACGCGCCCGGTTTTGGACCTTCTGGAGTATTCATGGCACGCCGCGAAGTGCGCCTGATGTTTGCCATCATTGATCTCGAATCTTGGGGCTGCGATGAGGCGAGAGACGCTGGCTTGCTTGGGGCATTTTCTTGTCGGTGCTTCTGTAAAGCTAAATGGGTGTTCAAATCCGCCATGATCCTTTCTCTCGTCCATTTCTCACTTTGTGTGCGCCAACGACTGAGCCAACTTTCGATGTAGTCTTTCGTTAGACCGTGGTCTTCAAGAGTATCTTTCAATATAGTCAGTAACGGGTCATAGATTATGACGGCACAAATAGCTTACCGCGGTGATGCTCGCCGTGAACAGTGTGCCGATCTGTCCTTTGAGGTACTCGAGCTTTCTCGTGGTGCTTTCTAGCCTCGTTGTTCGTGGTAACCTTCCCTGGAGACAAGATACGGTTTTCTTGTTTGAGCCTCGATGCTAGCTTTCCACCAATGCCCTCAGCTCTCCCATGGACACTGCTCTTGTCAAACTCTGGTTCCCAACGATGAAGAGCGCCTGTCTCGGGGTCCTCCTCTTCAACGTAAGCTTGCTTGTCAGGTTTGCTTCTCTCGCGATCATGATGTGTAGCAGGGTCGTGCAAATGACGCCTTGCGCGTAATCGGTCGCTTTCTGAACTCGCTGCCAGCGCATCGTCAATAAAAGACCCTCCCGATGTCACCGCACCAGTCTCACCAGGTTGGCATAGTTTCAGTGCCTCCTTTCTCGAGAAGACCACATCACGGTATCTTTCGTCAGACCGTGTACTGTAATTATTGGGTTCCTGATTCATGGCGCCTGGATTGGGGATGTAGTCGTGAGGGTGGAGATGTTCAGGAATAGTTTTCAATTTGAAGAGGTTTTATATCACGCCCGCGTGAGTCCACCACGGTGATCGAGTGACGGGCCCGAGTAGAAGAACTCATGGTCGTTGACGGCCTCTGGGAGAGACGTGTCAAAGAAGCCGCGTCAAAGATGTGTACATGTTGAGTCTTCGTTTGACGCATATTGGTGTATGACAGTACGCGAACGATATGACTCCGAAGTGTTACTTCTCATCAGATACCGGCCGAGAAGGTTGGATCAGAGGGAGGCAGAGACCCTGCATAGGTTTCTGCAAATATTGGCCCATGAGATTGTGGCGTTTCCATGCGCATGAAATGCCAGATCCTTTGCGCCACCGCCAGATTGTCTCACCTTCGGGGCCAACGACAATCACATTGAGCTTTGACCCAAGCATGCAAATCGATCGCAGCGGTGACGAAAACCAAACTTGACATGCCACGTATCTTCCAACCCTTCGTGAGGAAATCGCCTGGATAATTCGCCAAGATGGGCATGCGCAAAGCGCCCTAGATCCGCGGAGCGTCTCGGTATCGACCTTGTAATCTGTAGATCCTTGGAAGCGACTCTTTCGGGTGGAGAATCAATGCTTGTGGTGTTCGAATGTCATCGTGCGTCGAAACATATTTAAGTGTCGGCCCCAGACTTGCGCAAAGGGCAGCCCCTTGCGTATGCCCTTTGTTATCGCACAGCCCCCAGCCTCAGGCTTGGCCGAATTATCTGAGTGCAGATTGGCCCAGATTCAATTGCGCTGCAGGAGGAGAATTGTTGCCGAGCGCCGCACTTGAAGATTTAGCAGCTGGCGGTCGCTTCTGGTGCATATCTAATGCCTTATCGTCCAGTGTCTTTTTTACCAGCGCCCTCAGCAAGTTTCGCATGTTGGAAAGAATTACGCATCGATTTGACCAGCTTAACCCGAGTCGGAACGCCTTCAGTATCGTATGACGACCGGAACAACACGAGAGAAAGAGACCCATGACGTCCAGATTTTCAAAATGGCTCAGCGGCTGTCGGTGGATTGTATAACGACCTTGGGTAGCGAGAAAGAAGACATGGAATGTGCGGAACGAGAAGGGGAGGACGAGCATGCCAGGCCTGTGCTAGCTCGCAGGCACACTGAACCCATAGCTTTTCGAACCACGAAGCCAGATCTGGGTGTCGCAACAAATAACAGGTCCAATAGCGACTCTCACAACGTTGTTGAAGAGGCGAACTCGCTAGTCTATCACCGCACACTTTATGCGCAGTTACCAGGGAAACAGTGCTCGGAGAGTACGATCGAAGATCCGCCACTGCAGTCGGAGTCTTCGTACCCAAAGAGCAGCCTGGCCTCGTCAGCCACATGGCCAGATGCCTGCGTCTCAGACGATCACCGCGCCCTTGACGAGCATATTGGAGCTACAGCAAGACGCCTTTTGAAATCGACTGTTAGTATGAGGCACTCAACATTGGGGAATATTCGCAAATCGGCCGTGCAGGCAAGCGACTTTCGCCTACCTCCTCAACAGCCGGAGAAACGCTTCGTTGACGACATCGGGATGTTGTTTCCTGGGATTTCCGATCGTCAGCAATGTACTCGATCCGAAGCGCATTTTGTAACATCCTTTCGCCTCTGCGAACCCACAGAGTACACGACTGCGCTAGCAGACCATGGTCTCACGTATGAAGATTATTGTCGCTTGATCACTGCGCTGCGGGACTTCTTGAATAAGATCTGGACGGGAATAAGGAGAAGGAGATGCGCAGGACCAGTCTCGGCATCCACTGCTGAAGCCTCTAAACGCAAGACTTCCGGAAAGAAGCACGGGCCAGGCAAATGCGGCAGGTTTTGGGATACAACCGAACAGTTGAAGAAGAACCAGCAAGAGGCCGTCGCGCTCAATCAGCTACTTGAAGAGATAACATGGAATCTTCAAGCTAGAGGCGTTTCGGTGATGGTTTGCGTGCATTCATTTTCGCTTTTCGCGCCCTCTCGTGTCTCAGAGTCACATATCCAGATTCTCCATGTCGACCGCGACCAAACCTTGCAAGCGGCACTGATGTCTGCGCCTCCAGGCAAGCCGAGTCAGCGTATGGGGCCGCGTCTGTCTTTCGTCGATGCATTTCCTTCTGCTGAGGAGTCTGAGCCAAGACCAACACTTGAGCGTCAAGCAATGTCTGCGCCGGAGACGATCAGGTGTGCAAATGACCCCATTCCCCACCAGGCACAAAGTCGGGACCGTTCGAAGCCATATCTTCTTTGGCCCAATGCTGTCCCGCTTCGTAAACGGCAGGTTCTGAATGCCAACATCGACCGATATGGTGCCGATCCTTACTTTCGAGCCTGGATGAGAGCAAGCATCAATGCCAGCACACGGCGCAGTACATATGCAAAGTATCTGGCTGAGATGGAAGATAATCCTCTAGCGAATAGGAGGAAGCAGTATGCCGATACTACACTGAAGCAAGATATCGTTGCCGCGCTGGTGAGCGATGATCGAGCGTGGAAGGAGCAGTTTCCTAGTGCCGTGAACAGAACCAGCTACGAGCATAACAGAAGATTGGAATGCCGTCAGACGGTAGAGCGAGGCACCAGACTCCGAGTACTGCGCTTCGCATTTAGACATCCAATTTACCCGCCTCATATACCTGAAATGGACGCACTCGGTCTCAACAAGCATGCGTACCACGCAATCTTGACGGATATCGACCGAATGCACACGAAGCTGCGCCTCAATACGAGATGTCCAGGAATGTTTGTGTTAGCGTCGTTGATGAAGGTTCGGCGAAAGGGTACTAAGGATGCGGTTATGAAAGCGAGGGAGTACATCCGACGATTGAACGCGTCACAACGAGAACTTGTGTGGACCATTGAGAAGATACCCTGGGTGTACGACAAAGGGGGCGGAAGGAATCGTACAGAGTGGGAAATCAGCGCTTGGAACGCAGCAGATCCGCTCGAGCTGCTCATGCAGCTGGAGAGATGGGGGATTATCCAGAACCGAATGAGTCTTGGCGATGAAGATTGAACACGCGTTCGCTCTGGGTTGAGGTGCGAATGTGAAGATTCAATCTGCTGCAGCTCCAGTGGCTCTCGAACGTACGCAGTATGAACGCATGCGCGTGTTCTGTGTTGGTGATGTGACGAAGAGGTTGGGAAAGCGCAAAGTAACAACTAGAGGGGATGAGTGACCGCGCGTGCGCGCGACTTCCACAGTCATGATCTGGATCAAGCTAGCGCCTTGGTGTGACGGCGCATTTCCGCGAGATGTGCTAAGCAACCCCAACATCAGCCTTCTACCGACTTGAACCTGATCTATTGGCATGATGATTTCGGCGTAATTACGAGATTAACCTTCGGCGATAGAGCCCTCGCCATGCACTACTTCCGCAGCGAAGCTTCTGGAGAGTGGTTGTCGGAGAGATTAAGTACACCGACCTTGCACCTACCCAGGCACCTAGGTATTGACCAAGACTAGTACCGTAAGCAATGGCGCCGCATCATGTCTAAATGCATGCCATGTGCGGCTTTGGTTCAGCTTTCATTACTAAGGTAACGCGGTTGTACGACGCAGATTTACAAGCAGCGCGGATTTGGGGATGTGGGGCCCTGTACCTGCATCATAGCCATGCATAATCACGTCTTCGTCGTGGTGTACATAAGGGAGCGTCTTCATCGGTGAAGTATACCACACATTCAACGACACTCACAACATCGGAATCACTACACACTCTACAACCTATCACAGATATCAAACCTATTCAGACTCAACCATCAACACTTCTCGAACATGTCTATCAAGAACGTCATCATCATCGGTGTATGCATACCTGCCAAACTTCTCCTGCATACGATAGCTAACAATATCAGGCGAGCGGCAACCTGGGTCCTTCCATTCTTAACGCCTTCCTCAAGGATTCATCATTCAACACAACTGTCCTCTCGCGCCAAGGCTCTAGCTCGACCTTCCCCGAAGGCGTCAAAGTCATCCGCGCGGACTACGATTCCCACGATAGCTTGAAGGAAGCCTTCCAGGGCCAAGATGCTGTCTTGTCGCTTGTCGGCGGCATGGCACTGGGCGATCAAAATAAACTGATTGATGCTGCCATCGCAGCGGGCGTGAAGCGCTTCCTTCCTTCAGAGTATGGAAGCAACGTCTATGACGAGCGCGCTCGTGAGATCGTGCCCGTATTTGGGCCCAAGTTCGAGACGATCAAATACCTCAAGACCAAGGAGAAGGAGATTAGCTGGACTGGCATTGCCACTGGCCCCTTCTTTGACTGGGGCCTCAGGGTAGCGTTCTTGGGCTTTGACGGCAAGTCAAGGACTGCTACCCTCTTTGATGATGGTGAAGCTGTTTTCACAAGCACCAACCTCAACCAAATCGGTATCGCGACCGTCAACGCACTCAAGAACTCCGACTTGACTAAGAACCAATATGTCTACATCAGTGGATTTCAGACAACGCAAAAGGAGATCTTGGCCGCAGCAGAGAAGTTTACTGGTACGAAGTGGACTGTCAACAAGGTCAATGTGAAGGAGCACATCGAGCAAGGACGTGCCAAGCTCCAGTCGGGAGATCACAGCGGTATCATGTACTTGATTCAGGGCGCGACGTTTGGCAAGGAGCAGCAGTTGGGTGACTTCTCATCTTTGGGACTTTGGAACGAGAAGCTGGGAGTGCCTAAGGAAGGTCTTGAGGAGACTGTGAAGGCTGTGTTTACTTGAGCAGTGGATCAGTGGTCGATCTAGTTAGTCGCCCGATGTAGTGCTAATATACAGCATGTCTTATAATCGGTGCTTAACTAGTTGCAAACGACAGGTGATGTTACCAGAATTGTAATGTGCTCTCGATGTTGTGATTCGAGAAAGATCATTCCTCGTCCTATGTAAGAGGTGCGCTAGCCGCTTTTGGCCTAACCAGGACCTGGGGAAGATCCCGGCGAATCTCCATCTGAAGGTTGATGGAATGGCCGATGACCAACACGCGTAGAATTGTCGCAACACGACATTGGAACCACTTTTAATCTAGAGCATATCATCTTACCAATCGCAAAGATGGCAGATCGCGCGGCGAAACGCATGCGACGGATAAGCACCGAGCATGACGAATCCGAGGGCGAGGGATGGGACCAGCGAGGAAACAGCACCAGGTATGTGGCTGACAAGGCGAGCGAATAGCTTGCACCCATCGCCAAGGGAAGCGCAGCGAGTACAACATCCCCAAGACGCCGTCACTGCCCCCAGAGGCGCCCCTCTCACCACCACCGTCGTGCCACCCGCCTGCACACCCCTGCCCCAGGCCAACGGACCCGACGGCCTATCTGACGTCGTCGCAATCCTTCCTGACTGCCTTCTCCCGCTTTTGCCGGCCTCGCACTTCGCTCCTCTGCAATCATGCCTCGCCTCCGCGCGCGCGCACCTCCAGCTCCTCTAACAGCCTCCAGTGCCCCGACCGCTTCCTCGACCCGCCCTCGCCGCGGCACTGCCAACCAGTCGCCCGCTGCGGCCGTCATACAGCGCTCCTCGCCCGAAGAGACGCGCCAGTCGATCCACCTCACCGTCAAGTCATCACCCAATAAGCTCAGACAGGCCACTGGTGGAGTCGTACCAAAGGCAGGCGTCAGCAGGCAGAACATAGTCGCAGGCAAACGCGCATCCAGGAGTAGTCGCGTAGTGCGGGAGATTGATAGTGAGGACGACGAAGACGAAGATGACGACGACGCCGAGGAGGTTGACGCCATGGACGTGGATGACGACTCCGACGAACCAGACGCTGAAGGAGACGAGGATGAGGACATGGACGCCGAGGGAGATGAAGACGACGACATGGAGGACACGCCAGCACCACGCATTACCGTAAACGCGAGCAGAGGGATCCCCGTCCAGCCAGCACCAGCCATAAAGCTCACAAAGGCACAAGACAAAGTCGAGGCCAAGGAAATGGCCATGGACGACGATGACGACGACGACCTCAGCGACCCCGACTCTGACCTTGAGGAAGAAGATGCTGAGGGCGAAGACGAGGATGCTGAGGGCGAGGAAGACGACGATATGGGTGTCACACCAGGTGCAGATATGGACGAGATGGACAGCGACGAAGACCTCAGCCGCGACCAGACCCCCGATGTCAGCAAGATGACGAAGCGTCAACGCGCCCTGATCAACGAAGAAGAAGACGGCGCACTCCTAGCCCTCTCGAACGAGGCACAGAAGAAGAAACACCTCACAGCCGAAGAACACGCCATGCGAAGGGCAGAGATGGCAAGGCGGAGGAAGAACCTCAGCGAGAAGAGGAACGAAGAGGAGAAGGTGTGTTCAACCCTCAGCGTTCTTTCAGTGTATACAGTTACTGACCTGCCACCCTAGCTCGACACCATCAACCGCCTCCTCAAGAAACAACCCCCGAAGCGCGGCCGTAAATCCATGATCGAGCTCAACGAAGATGGCGAGGAGATCGAACAGGAGCCTGAGCGAGCGAACCCACTCTACGTACGATACATCCAGAACGCCAAGGGGACACAACTTGCTGTGCCAGATGAGTGGCTCCAAGCCCCTGTTGGCAGAGTATTCTCTGGGGAGACGCAGAAAGGGACCCAGAAGCCTTTCAGTGGACGTATGGTTGAGGAAGTTGCTTAGCCTTATCATTGGATACACTCGTCGATGACAAGGGGGAGAGCAAATGTACATTTAGCGGTGCATAATCACGGCGTTGATTGTCTTTTCCTATAGATCAAATATCCTATTATTTGTTTCCATCTACTTCACTTCCAGTCTCATCGCGTCATACTGCACATAGACCGCTTCAGGCAACAAAGCGCTCTCGTAGTTGGTTCCGTTGTACGGTAAGCTGAGGATCAAACTGTTCTCCCCTTCCTTCAGCATGGACGAAGGGAAAAGGAATTTGTGCGCGAGGTTGTAACATATGACTGCTGAGCGGACGGCGCAGGATGAGGATTGGTTGTATCTGATATGCTTGTTAGTACACTTTCATGATTGAAGACGGAGAAAGAATGAGAAACTTACGGAATAATCCAAGGCTCAAGATCCACCCCATTCACATTTACCGTATACGGCAGATTCGAATACGGCTCACTCGCGTTAAACACATCCGTATTCCCCGCCGCCGTCTTCGCACCCGCAAGCTGCACCGTAAACGTCGCTGTAGTCCTGTTCCTTAGTTCATCCGCCTTGGCATCGAACAGAATAGTCCAGTTATACGGATGATCAGGCACAGGTACTGGACGCTCGTAGTTCGCTTTTCCGCCATAGACAGCCCAGTGCACGTAGTTGAGTGCTTGGGACGCGTCATCCGTACCGACTTTATACGTCACGCCCTCGGGGAACTCGTTGATGAAATCGTAAGCGCCCCAGTAGAGGCGGTATTCTTCTGTGAGGAGGGGATGGGTAGGGGATTGAGCGTAGCCGTGGCGGTACTCGCCTGAGGATTTATCGGGGGTGCCGATGCGGAAGAGTTCTTTGCCGGCGGACTCGGGGGTCCATGTTGCGGTTATGGAAGTAGCTTCTCCTGCTGAGACGAGAACGTCGTCTTGGATGTAGTCGCCAAAGATGCCGTCAGCGTAGACTGTGAGACGGTAGTTTCCGGCTTTTACTCGAGGAATGGTGACTTCGCCGGCGGGAGAGATGTCTTCCCAGTATTGGTAAGCTTTTGTGTCGAAGACGTTGTCTTGGAAGTCGTGGCCGCTCTCTGTGAGTATGGCGATGGGGTTCTTGGCTCCGGCGGGCAGGTTGATCTTTGCGTTCAAGGTACCGCGACCGGATGTCGGGACGAGGTTTGGCACGTGCTTTGCGATGGAATCGTAGAAGTCGGCGTTCCATTCCGGACGGAGACCATACTGTTCGGCATCTTCTCTGAGCTCTTCTAGCGAGCCGCCGGAGTTGAAGTGGAAGTACTGCGGCCCAAAGGTACGGTCGAAGCCATCGGTGATGTTGGGCGTTTGATCGCCATGGTGGTTGGAGACCATGTAGTTGTATACGATGCCATCGACCACGAGGTCGGAATGGACAGGGCCGTTGAAATAAGTCTCGACGGTGTTGTGCACAAGCCAGGCGCCGTAGGTTGAGCCATTGGCGCTACCAGTACCGTCGGCGTACATACCATGGGCCTTGTGATCGCGCCATGTGTCTTGGAAGGTGTACTTGGTGAAGTAGTCTCCTACGCCGGTAACGTATGGATCTTCTTTGTTGGCCAGCCACCATGTAGCATCTTGAACAGTGACTTGTCCTTCGGTATCTGGGCGGGGTGCAGCAAACTTCTCGTTGGTAACGAAGTGCGTGAAGAGCGCGGGTTCATGGTTTGGCCTGAACAGTGTGCGAAACTCTTGCAAGTTGCGTAAAAAGGGAGTAGTCTTGTTGTTGTATACTACGCGGCTGAATGTATGCAGACCTGTTTCTCCTTCTCTCAGAAACCAGTACTGCTCTAGCCTCTGACCGGTCGGAGCGTATGTCTCGCCCATGCTGATACCCCCATACGAAGTATTAGTAGAGTCTCTGCCGTTGAACAGCTGGTACTGAACATTGCTTCCCCGGCCCGGTGTCCAGAAGCCAGATGGAGTGCAGTAACAGTCGAGATATGGACCGACTCCAGTGTTGCCATCTTCCGTCCCGAGGAGGTTTTGTCCGTCCAGCGTAAGGACGTTGATGTATCCTCGTGTCTTGCTTACCGACGCAACAAGACGGTCATTGGCAATGGTCAGACTTTGGTTGTTCTGACTCGCGCTTAGAAAAGCCCATGCTTTCGAAGACAGCAGAAGCGCCGCTGCGGTCGCTGTGGTAGAGCGCATGTTGTGAACGGAAGGCGCCAACGAGCACTACATGCCTTCGGAAGTACTTCGCTCCCCATTCTTATACAAGCCGTATCCAGGTACACGGGAAAATTAATTGAAGTTAAGCTCGATGATCCTGGCCGTAATCCGGGGTAAAGGAGGAGGACTGCTATGGGGAAGACGCGCTACTCGGCCCTTCGGCGTGAAAGCGACCGAGGACAGGGTCTGTTGGAGGGCGGGACGGCCTACATGTTGCTGTCGAAGATGCGATGAGTAAACAAGCCGCACTGCATGGCCTGTTGGTGCAGATGTAAATCCGTGTTGGCATTGGGGGTGTGCAGAGGTCGTTGACGTCGCCGTGGTGCCGCGCTGGCTACTAGCTCTGCTTCTGAAGAGCTATGACGGAACGCGCCTTCTTGCAGCCATCGCGTACCCGTCATCATACACGCGCGTGTTCTTGCAATTCGGTACTGTTCGATGATACAGAGCCCCAGACAATACACTACAGCGCGTACCTAGGTACGGAATCGTCCTCAATATCGCTCACATGCCCATCTGTGTAGCGAACGGGAACTCGAGCACGTACGCCCATGTGCATCTGGTGCCTTGGACACCGGGCACCTATGTCGTCTTATCATTTGCTTTTTTCCTACCTTGATTACGCTGTGGTAGTCTCGCGAACAGAATAACGCGTCCTTCGACTGTTGCCTGGCTTTGTTTCTTGCTGGCCGTCGCCCGCCGCATGCCGTGCCACAAACAGCGCAAGGATAGGCCCGAAAACTGTTGCGAGCTCGATGTCTCCAACACGAGCCCTCATGCATATATATTAGTATACTGAAGAGAACATCCGCCGTCGCGCACCACTGAAAACGTCCTTACGCTTTGTTTCGAGAAAGAAAGGACCGATCCCACATGCGTTCACCATCGGCGCTGAGGCGTTCTCTGAAAGAATACCTCATCGAAAAACTGATTGAGGCTCCTTGGCACCGTATAGCGGAGAGAAATGGACGCAAACGAAAAGAATTCCTCGACAAACTCGGAGCTGCGGCTAGTGCTAAATGGAATGGACGCCTCCCGTCTGGAACAAGCGCGGAAAGTAACGACCTCTTCGACCTCTTCTCAAGCGCAAACGTCTCAATTCAGCAACAATCCCCGCTCTTCGCAAAGCTGCCTCTAGAGCTGCGAAGGCTTATTTACGCTTATGCCATCGGCGGGGAAGAACTCCAGCTTGAACTCCATGAAGACAGTGATACCGACGCCTCGTTTAGCATGAGATGTGTTGAGGCACAAAGGATCTTGGCTTTCACGAGATCATGCAAACTTGCGTGAGTAAACTAAACCTGTTGAAAGGCCGAGTTCGTGGCTCCATGTTTCAGCGTCTGACGGAGTCGTCACAGATATATAGAAGCGATACAGTATGTCTATGGGGACAATACATTTCGCATCCCCAACATCACAGCATTCTTCTGCCTTCAGCGCCTTCTTCCAGCGCGCTGGTTCCATGCCATCCGTTATATAAGATTGAGATGGGCATATATGCAAACAGGCGAGATGTGGGAATTTCTCCACGGATATCCACCTTACAATGCTTCGTGTTGGTCCCTGATATGGTCGGAAATCTCAAAGATGAGAGCACTAGAGCATGTGAGAGTAGAGATGGTGCCCGGGTCAACATACATCTATGCTGACTATGAATATGCTTTGTTTACTCCATTAGAAACCGCCCAGGGATCGAAAGAGTTTGAAGTTTACGCTAGTTGGCCCGAACATAAAGACCTTCATCGTCAAGGGAAGACATGGCCGTTCAAGATCACGCGGGGAGTGGAGTGGCATTTTCCAAACCAAGAATAGGCCCCAGCCTGAGTAAGAGGTGCATTGTCATCTTCGTCAAGAGTCGAGTTGGCGATATGAGCGCAATGGCTCCGCTAGGCCAGATGTCATCCCACCGAGAAATAACAAGTGGGCTTTGCGGCGTTCACGCTGAGCTAGGTAGATTCGGCTCATAATCAGAGAGGGGGCACCCTGCTTGAACCACGCCCCAATTTGAAGGATACCGTGCCGCATCGACTTCGCCCCATCCGGTGATTAGGCAGCAACTTCTCATATCACTCATGTGCTATTTCTACTTCGGATTGAACCGTCGCTTCATTGTCCACAACTTTTCAATGCTCAGAACACCAAGTTTTTGATATTGCCCTTTCTCATTTTCCCAATCTTTCTCCACTTTCTATCACTAGCCATGCGATTGTTCGAAGACGTAGCGTGGTATATGCTCGGCAAATTTGTGGATGTAGTGATCGAACCTACGATGAAAAGGGGCAGAATCAAGAACTTTCAGGAGCGACGACGAAGAAAAATAGAAAAGCAGAACACGCTTCGAACGAACTGGAACGCATCTTTACCACCTATACGCTCCGACACGATAGAAGTCCCGGCATTGAGAGCAGCAACAGATGGGATCTCCACTCAGCCGCAATGCTTGTTGTTCACGAAATTACCTCCAGAGCTACGGACGATGATTTACCTATACGCCTTCGGAAACGAAGAACTTGAAATAGAGCTTATCCCGGAAGAGATCGAATTATGGAGATACTTTTACGGTGTCCGCCCATTACCGGTTTTTGATGTGAGATGCGCAAAGTTTTTGCAGCTCACAGCCTTTCCACGGTCGTGTAAATTGGCGTATGTTATTCCCTCCATCTGAGGCTTCGCTGGCCCGCAGAACATGACTGACTTCTCTGCGCTAGGTACTCCGAGTCTATACAGCATCTCTACTCATCCAACACTTTCTACTTTCCTACCTGTACAGCATTCTTCTGCTTCCAACGTCTTGTACCTACCCATCACTTCCAGGCTATCCAATCATTGTACTTGAAGTGGGCGAGTGACAAGCTATGGCTGATATGGGAGTTCTGTGATGGCGTACCGCCCTACGACATCTCAAGCTGGAATCAGACCTGGAAGGTCATATCAAAGATGGGAGCTCTCAAGTACATGAGGGTCGACCTGGTGGCATGCGCTGATCGTCCCGAGCCATACTCCCATTTTGAAGACGTCTTATTTGCCCCGCTGAAGAAAATCCAGGGCTTGCAACAATTTGATGTCTTTCTTAGCTGGGAAGAAAGCGAAACAGTACGTGAAGAGGGAGTGCAGCCTTTTACGATCAAAAGAACGATGGAACATGTTCGATGTTCGATGAACACGCCCGGGCCGTGTGGAGCTTTGGATGGACACATCGAGCAGCTTCCGGGGTAGTTTACCTATGTTAGATCATCGCGTTAAGATTTCGTCAGTCGAAGTTGTAACTAACTCACACAAAAGTAATGCTAAAGATGCATAACCGCAAGAATTGAAAGTGTTATACTCATCCAAAATGCCCTGTCCCGGCTGTTCGGTGCTAATCCGGGACGAATGACCGGTGACGTCATCATCTGGGGGGAACCGAACCCGCCTTGTGTACCTGCCTTCCGAAGCATCAACACCAAACATCGGAAACTCCGGGATCTTGTCAGCTTGCGCGGCCTTTTTCCGCAGTGATGAGCTCTTCTCAACCAGAGAGCCAGCCGCTGCTGCCCAGTTCTCCAACCAAGGTCATAGCTTTCGAGCCCCACGATCCAGACGACCCCCGGAACTGGTCGAAAGCGCGCAAATGGCTAATGGTCGCCGCCATCGTACCCATAGACCTCAGCGTCTCTTGGGGCGCGAGTGGCTTTAGTCCTGTCGCGAGCGACTTTGCGAAAGACATGGGCGTGTCGCCGAGCGTCGCTGTTCTTGGACTGAGCATGTATGTTCTTGGGTTGGCTTTTGGTCCTATGACTTTGGCGCCACTTTCGGAATACTTTGGACGGAGACCTGTCTATATTGTGTCTTACGGTATCTTTCTCTTGCTCCTTTTGGGGACGACATATGTAGAGAGACTTGGGCCGTTCCTTGTCCTGCGTCTGTTCTCGGGTTATTTCTCATCGACCACGATTTCGAACTTTGGGGGCACCATTGCGGATCTCTTTCATCACTATGATACTGGGCCAGCAATGTCTTGGTTTCTGTGGGCAGCGACAGGTGGCAGCCCGACTGGCTTTGTACTCTTCTCATTCATTGCACATGGTCGATCGTGGCATGCTGTGTTCCGCATCATGTTCTTCATCTGCTTGACCTTCTGGGTGGTCATGGTCGTCGCACTCTATAGCCTTGGAGAAACAAGACATAGTGTAATACTCTTGCGGAGAGCACGGGCCCTACGACAGCAAACAGGCGACGATGAGATTGAGGTACCGGACGAAATGAAGCAACGAGGACCGAAGCAGCTGTTTACTACGGCACTCGCCCGCCCATTCAGGTTCTTGGGTTCTGAAGCTATCGTACAGTTTGGTGCACTCTACAACGGGTTTCTATACGGCTTGAGCTTTCTCTTCAACGGTGCCTTCCACATGATCTTTGGCCCGAACGGATACGGTTTCGATACTATCGGTGTCGGGATCTCCTTCCTGGGGATTGTTGTCGGTATCACGCTTGGCCTAGCGACGAACGCCTTTCAAGAACGATACTACCAAAGACAAGTTGCTCAGGCCGGCCATCGTGACGTCCCCGAGGCTCGAGTGCATCATGCGAAGCTGGCAGCTATTGTGCTACCAGTCTCTCTTCTGGCTTTCGCACTCACCGCAACGCCAAACATACACCCCTTCTTCGCAGTCCTCGCCAGCGCGTTCTGGGGATGGTCATTCTACACTCTCAGTAAGTTACACAGATGATCCACGTCAATCATGCTGCACTAACAATTCGATGTAGTTCTCATGACGCTCACGTACACCGAGGACGCCTACAAGACGTACTCAGCATCAGCTCTTGCCGGAATTGGACTCATTCGGAATCTCGCTGGTGCTGGGTTCCCACTCGTCGGGAGACATCTGTTCTTGAACATAGGCACCAGGAACGCGAGTCTGGTACTGATGGCGATCGCCATCTGCCTAGCGCCAATACCATTCGTGCTTGAGAGAAGAGGCGTATCATTGCGCAAGAGAAGCCCATGGGCGGCCGCGCATGAAGATGAGGATGAAAATAGCTGAGTCAAAAGCCACTTGCGACAGCTGTGTCGCATTGTAGGGCTCAGTCTGTCTTGCGCACGGGAAGACGTTGGTGGCACGTCAGATTGTTCTCCGAATTCCAAGGATCTGGCTGTCACAAAACTCGACTACGGACCGCTTGTACGCCATATCATACCTTAATAATGGCCGCAGTGTGCACGGTCAAGCAGAAATGCCCTCGTGCGTCTATACCTGGGTAAGCACGTGGAACGGATTTCTGTATTCGACGAACTCCACATTACAATCGAATCAGAGAGCACTGGCCTACTCGCGTTCAATCTTTCCATCAACCACTGATATGCATACCTCATTACTCAGCCCTTCTGCCGTCTAGGCAGCGGCAAGTTAGCGACCCAGATGGTTCGATCCCGCGCACGTGACATTCACTACGCAGCAAACCCAACACACCCATTGGACAGAACAGAGCATGACGGCTACCCAAAATCAGCATAACAACGTTTCAACCACAACAGAACGTGTTGTTTCGGATCTGCCCGTGGTTTTAGCGCGTAATCCCATTGAACGTTACGGGCCAACCAACGCGTCGCGCAGCCGAGAGGGTCGGCGCGTAACGCTAGATCTCGCGCTGCCGACTACCCACCCGCGTATCCACCTGAGATATTCTTAGACCGTACGAAATCTACATATGAAGCTCTGCTCTTGCGATGATAGTGCAGTATTCTCCAGCTTCAACCATCTTTCTTTCCTTCAGTCGGTTTTCATTCGATTCTTTCCTTTTGAGTCTGTTCTGTGAACAACTCTGTGTTTCATTCGCGACATAACTTGCTTGTTTCCTTCAGTCAAGTCTCAGCATAGCGACGGAGTTGTTCTCTTATCCATCGTCTTCGTCATTTCCGGTTTTTTTGTTGCGAGAGAAATATCGACCAGCGCGCAAGTCGTGTCTAGTAACTACAAATTCATCTCGACTTACGACTACACCGCGACTCATCTACGAAACGTTCGCAAGACGCCTCGACAGCCTCTTCAGGAATTCGGAATATCCACACCAACGCGATAAACTCTCAGTAACAACACAAAAATGTCCTGCCAACCATTCACTTCGGTCCCTCAACCACCCACCAACCTCCCATCGTGCGCCGTACCTGTCGGTGGCTCGAACTCTTCAATACTAGATGCATGCTGCAACGGGCACATCAATGCGATCGCGACTTATTCCGCTCCCGACTCAACCACATCATCACCATCCGCGTCCTCAACTCCAGTCATCGTTAATTCAGAAGATAACGACGGCTGCTTCCAATACTGCATCACCGATTCACCAGACATCGTCCAGAGTTGCTTGGCACAGAAGATGGAGGAATACGAGAAAGAAAGTGCAAGTGGCACGGGCATGTTTGGCTGCTTCAACACAGACAAGGCGGTTGGTGCGAGAAAGGTCGATGAAGAGCGAGGATATGCTAGTTCGGGTGTGAGGATCAGTGGAGGTGCGAGCTGGGTGGTATCAATGCTGCTGGGTCTGAGTGTCATCGGTGCAGTTGTGGGAGGCATTTGAGCACCATTAAAGAGATCGGCACATGGCAAGACCATGGAAAGATGCGAGGTGTTTGACCGAGTTGTATACCCAGGGGTTTTCTCTAGCATCTCCTAGCGCTGACGCTGGACGTAATGAATAATGACATATTTCAATTCCTTGACTATAGTAGCGGTGTGGAACGACAACACTGATGAGATCTACGATAAGATGGTCTGAACGACTTGGTCGCACATCCGAACCGCAGATATATTCGTGCAGTCCCAAAAGTAAAAAGCAAGAGTTCCCCAGCCTCAAATCGTCTTCGACACCTACAAAGGCGGTGAGTGAGCAAAGGAAGACATTCCCCACACTCACAAAGCGCCTCAACAACATTGTGTGCTAAGAAGTCCGGTGCAGATCCCGTCACCGCAGTCGTAACTGCACTAAGTAGTGGTCGTGGTAAATTATAAACACCTTTGGTGTTACTTCTTACAACTACCGTCTAAGCCTGTCAATCAGAGACCATGTCAACAACGCCGGAGCAACCACACATCGTCAAATACTGTGACCAAAAACTGATGCACCCACAACCTCGGCATCCGGTGCCCATTGTCGAAATAGAAAGAATAGCAGCCAACGCTGAAAAACAAGCTTCTTCAGACCTAGCCTTCGCATCGCAGCAACAACCACAGGCGCAGCAACATCCACAACCACAAACGAAACCAGACCAAATCCCCCAACGAAAGCGAAAAGACAGCGCGGCGCCTTCATTAAATTGTGGCTCCCCCGTCTCGGAACAATACGAGCAAGCTTCCGGAAACGAGCTGCTTGCTACCTCACATTCGCCTAAGCATGTGCCGGAGCATTTCTCCAACTCGGGCTTATTAGAAGCTGGGTTCAACCAGGAGACTTCCCGCAGAAATTCCAACTGGCGTCGCTTCTTTTGTAAGCCCCCGATCGTAAGAAATTTAGATGAGAAGTTTTGCTGAGATTTCCACCAGATGGTTCATTAGAGTTCTTGATTCCTTTTGGCAGTGAATGGGATAGCCCGTGTTTAGCGTCCCGGAGGACTTCTGTTTGAATTGTGTAAATGTAAAGAGCGCGTACGCTACTTATGAATGAATGAAATTTCTAAATATGATATCTTTTCCCAGTTGATACTGCAAGCTTGATGTGTACCTGATGATGATGGGTCTGTGGCTGAGGGGCAGCCGATGTGGAGACGAGGGAAAGTTCCCCGCGACAATTTAGCGCTATCGCACCCCTGCCGCCGATGCGGAGCGTCACATCTTTTTCTCGAACGCGCAAACAGTCACAACCCAAATCCACACGTTATTCTCTCATAGATCTCAAGATGGCATCCGAAAAGAAAGTAGCAGAGAACATGCTCTGGGGAGGTCGTTTCACAGGTTTGTGCAGCCAATGGCTTTCTAGGGCTCACCAAAACTTGATATGACTGGTGCTAAGACGCGTTGCAGAGGGCCTTGACCCAGTCATGGAGCAATACAATGCGTCTCTCCCCTACGACCGTCTCTTCTACGCTGAAGATATCGCCGGCTCTATCGCGTTCGCTCGCGCAAACAAGAACAATGGCATCCTCACCGCCGACGAGTTCGCTGCCATCGAGAAGGGCATGGCCCAGATCAAGGAGGAGTGGGCGACGAATTCCTTCGAGGTCAAGGCGAACGATGAAGATATCCACACTGCCAACGAGCGACGACTAAGCGAGATTATCGGCAAGGACATCGGAGGCAAGCTCCACACAGGACGAAGCAGGAACGAGCAAGTCGCGACCGACATGCGGTTATGGCTGAGGGAGCAGCTCAGGACACTAGAGGGCTACCTGAAGCTCCTGATAAAGACATCGGTACAGCGAGCCGAGGCCGAGATCGACGTGCTTATGCCGGGCTACACACATCTCCAGAAGGCACAGCCCGTCCGGTGGTCGCACTGGATCCTATCGCATGCCACCGCGTTCGCATCCGAGCTCGAGCGCCTCCGCGAGGTCATCAAGCGCGTCAACCGTTCCCCACTCGGCTGCGGTGCATTGGCAGGCAACCCCTTCAACATCGACCGCGACGCCATGGCCAAGGAACTTGGTTTTGAGGGCTTGCTCACAAACTCCCTCAACGCTGTCGGAGACCGCGACTTCGTCTTCGAGACACTACAATGGGGATCGAGCTTCATGCTTAAGATGTCGCGCTGGGCGGAGGATCTGATCATATACTCGAGTCTGGAGTTTGGCTTCGTGCGCTTGGCCGACGCCTACTCTACCGGAAGCTCCCTCATGCCCCAGAAGAAGAACGCAGACTCTCTGGAACTCATCCGAGGAAAGAGCGGTCGTGCTTTCGGACATATGGCGGGCTTGTATGTCACCATCAAGGGTCTTCCTACGACCTACAACAAGGATTTGCAGGAGTCTGTTGAGCCTCTCATCGACCACATCAAGACGGTCAGCGACTCCATCCAGATCGCCACCGGTGTTCTGTCCACCCTGAAGATCAACGCCGACAAGATGCACGCTGCACTTGCCCCGGAGATGCTGGCCACAGAGTTCGCAGACTATCTTGTGCGAAAAGGTGTGCCTTTCCGTGAGGGTCACCACATCTCTGGTCGTGTCGTTGCGCTAGCAGAGGACCAGAACGTTCCCATGGACAAGCTGAGCTTGGAGCAGCTGAAGGGTATCGATTCCAGGTTAGGCGACGACGTAGTTGAATGCTTAGACTACGAGCGCGCGGTAGAGTTGAAGAACGCCACTGGTGGCACAAGCAAGAGCGCCGTCATGGAGCAGATCGACATCTTGAAGACGATACTCTAGAGTAGAGGTTTGCCAAGCGACGTCAAAAACGGGTTTAGACAAAATTCACGGTGGTCACAGGTTATGAGAAATGAGAAATGATTACTACACCACTTAGATGTCGAGTGGTGATGAAGGCTGTTGCATGCGTGCGCTGGTTGCATGTGCTTACCCCACTTCATCTAGCCAGCGGATCCGCGTTCACATCGCAATGAGCCATATGCTATGAGACAGATCTAGGTTTCCTGCAATTAACTCGCATTTTACTTCCAGGACAATCATTAGGATCGAACATTTGTCTGACTAAAGTTATCATGCAACCAGGTCCACACAACACCAATGTCATCGCCAACGTAAACTACTTCCCTGCCACCGGCATCCCCATCCCCAAATCAGAATGGAAAGTCAAATACCTCGACGACAAAGATGAACACACCCGTCCCATGCTCATCCGCGACGTAAGAAAAGCGAAGAAGACATTCGACCTAGACATCAACGGCTTCACATTCGTCACTCTACCACAGAAGCAGAGAGTAGATCGGCACAGCAGCGAAGAAGACGTAAAACGAGAATACTACCCCGAGTTGGAAGAAGTGGTCAAGAACTTGTACAAACCCCACCAACATCCTACGTCCACGACCTCGTCATCAGAAGCAAGATATCTAACAACGTCCCCAGAACCGGCGCCTCAACCGTCCACGTCTTCAACCACGTAATCCGCGCACACACCTCCCCCTCTGCAAAGGGCATCCAAGACGCCCAAGGCAGATGGCAAGACATTCCCTCGGGCCACCCGCACGTCGACTACGCGGGCTCCGCGTCCGCCCTTGCCGGTACGCTTACTGAACTCTCGTTCCCACCCCACATCAACAAGCTCTTCACAACATCCACGCGCTACGCCTTCCTAAACTGTTGGCGGCCGCTCAAAACCGTGCGTCGAGACCCGCTGGCCGTGTGCGACGCGAATACGGTGCCTGATGCCGATTATCAGGTTAGGTTGAGGGAGTTCAGTCGCACGGGGAATCGGAGTGAGAATTATGTTTTGAGTTGTGGGGCGTTGGAGGGAAAGAAGGGGACAGATATGTGTGAAGGACAAGGGCATGAGTGGTGGTATATGAGTGGGATGCAGCCGTGGGAGATGGTTGTGTTCAAGGGCTTGGATTCGAAGAGGGAGGAGAGGGGGTGGAGGTGTCCGCATACTGCGTTTAGGGTTGAGGGGAGTGAGGGGGAGGAAGCGAGGGAGAGTATTGAGGCGAGGGTTGTGGCGTTTTGGGAGTAAGATGGGCATGGGGTAGTGGTTATGTCATCTTCGAGGCTTTCTCTTCGAGATCTTTTCTGTGAATTCGTTTCGCAACGAGCTATCTACGTTACTTGCTCTATTTTCCGGACTAGATTTTGCTGTGATGCGGGTTGATGGGAAACGGCAATACACATTTCCTGCCTTTACACGTCACGATCTTGATGTTGATGTCCTTTATCGGTGTGCCGCTCACGGTGTTCCTTCTCTCATCGCTTTCCCTGAAATGCCTCCGATAGGTAGATGTGCCTCGACGTCGAAACGGATCACTAATAGTTGGTCCACAGTCCCGGCCGTGCCGGCCTTGATCGAAGTGAGCCTAGGCGTATGTTGGAGGTAGACAGTGGCCTCGGGGGCCTCTCAGGCCGTTCGCGTATGCTGGGTAGATCGTGAAGAGAGCTTGGTCTGCGTAGGTGCTCGCTGTTTCGTCGCGGTACATCAAGAAATCGGCTACTAGTCCTAGATTCCGCCTGGTTGCTGGGTCTGAAATTCGACTGCCCACTCGCCATCGCAGCCTGCTGTTCATCGTGGAGGTGTTTTGTAAAGACGAAATCTCTCCATTTGAGCTCTTTCTTCAAGACGATAAACTTTGGCTCTGCATAGACCTCTCGGTTGATTTTGGCCATGCCGTATTTGCAATGCTTGCGATTGTAATCTTTGATCGCCTTGCCGAGCACTAGCCGAAGCGCTTCGCACGACCTTGTCCCAAGCTGTGCAACGACCATGTCGTCTGAGACGAGTCGACGTGCAAGTAACTTTTGACTCTTATCCATACCCAATTTCCCCGGCAGGAGACCGCGACCCCGAGTCCAGAAGGACGGCTTAGTGTAGAGTAATGTCTTGTGATGATTTCCACCTTCACACCTGTGCATCCGGAAAGCGTACAGCTGCTCGAAGACGTAAGCGATGTCGACTCCAATAGTTCGTGCTGGCTCCATGATGAAAGTGCTAATGAACTCGCGGTCGCTATCCTTTAGCAGACTCTGAGTATTATCAACGACAGTCTCACATGCCTTGTGGATGACATCGGCGTATTCGAGAGCTACGCGCGTTCCTTGATAGGTCAAAAGGCTGATATTCCGCGCGGAGAGGTTCGTGGTGGACAGTTTGGGCGAACATGCAGCGAGCGCATAATGGAGCTCATGAAAGTCGACGTCATAGCTGTATACCAGGATGTCGACGAGAAGGCGGACAAGGAGATCGACTGCGGCAAGCTTGTCTTGAGGAAGTTCCAAGTTTGTATCGTGGCCTGAGATTTGTTCTGGCCCAAAGGGATAAGACTCCAGGGGGTGGTGGGAGATTTCGATCGAATTACGTGGTGTGATGGGAGGGCGATGACTTGCGCTGTACGTTCGTTTTAGTTGCCCTGCGCTCAGGTTGCCTACACCCTTCTGAGACAGTTCCGGCATTACGAAGCCCTGTGACAAAATGAATGCTGCTGAGAATAGCGAGAAAGACGACGCTGGTACCGAGTGCGATCGTTCGCAGGCTTGACGAAGAGGAATGGAGAAAGTTGAATCACAATCACGAGGGTGCCGCTGAGACCCTTTTGAACTTCCTTACATCGAACAACGTAACCATCGTCAAGTTGTGGCCTGTAGGGGTCCAAAGCGGAGTCGTTGGTCGTCTGACTGGCCATCCACGGCGATGTATTGTGCGAGACCTGGCATCTCAGCGGATGATTTGTTGAGAAAGTCTGAATCACATATCCAGGGTCGATGATGATCGTACTATTCGGCTTGCTTCAACCGTAAGTGTCCTTCACAGCAGACCGATGCGACGACTGCCCCTACCAAAGCATCGATTAGTAGAGAAGGCTGAAGTCTTCATGTGATCAGCTCGAAGACACGGGCGGCGTAAGTCAGCTTCATCGTGAGACATCACATCGGCTTGAGAGAGGAATTGCTGAAGCGTGATGTGCGAAGGCGTGGGATGGAATCGAGCATGTGAAAGCAGAAGGCGAGGGGTGAATGCAGGGTGGCAGGGGTGTGCTGCATGACGCCACAGCCGAGGAGCCAAAATTACTCGGCCTGGCTTATCGATTAACAAAATTATCGCCGTCCCACTCTCCACCACCCACCAGACAGTGCAGCGCCGAGTTTCTGACACCGCATAGTCAAGGTGGCGTCGATTCCTTTCCGATTCAAATCAGGTGGCAGCGGCAACAATATGGCGCCCATGGCTGCGACAGCGCACCACCACCGGAGCACGACCAAGAAGGACAAGAAGGGCTTCAAGTCCCGCCATGCCACCAAAGGCGCGCTGAAGGAGCAGAGCAAGGGTCAGTCGCTCCTTCCCCGCCACCGCGCCCACATCTACTGACTGTTTCTTCAGGCAAAGTCAACTCCCTCTCGTTCGAATTCGGCAGCCGCAAGACCCCCCACCAGCAAGTCATGAGCAAGTTCGACCGCCGCAACCGCGCCAAGCAGATGCGCATCAACAAGGACCACGAGCACGCAAAGTCGTCCAACGTATTCGCCGGGAAAGATGGTGCGCCGAGGATCACCGCTCTCATTCCGCTGTGTTCGGACGTCTCTACCGCCGAAGCTGTCCGCAGCCTGAACGCCAGCCTGGACATTGAAGAGGAGGTTCCCGAGGCGGGATGGACACGCACAAACGTCGACCGTTTCAAGCAAAAGGTGCAATATTTGATCGTCAAGAGGGATCTGCTGGCCGCTCTGGACGCCTGCCGTGTCGCCGATTTTGTCGTCTTCATCCTCTCGGCGCACGAAGAGGTCGACGCAGAGGGCGAGTTGATCATGAAGTCGGTTGAAAGCCAGGGTATTTCAAACACCTTTACCGTGGTGCAAGGATTGGACAAGGTCGAGCCCGCCAAGGCCAGGCCTTCAGTCGTTTCGTCGCTCAAGTCGTACATCACCCACTGGCTACCCGCAACCGAGCGCGTCTACTCTCTCGACAACCGACAAGAAGCCGCAAACCTTGTCCGATCGCTATGCACAACTACCACAAAGGGTGTCAGGTGGAGGGATCAAAGGAGTTACATGTTCATTGAGGACATCGCGTGGCCTGGAGGCAAGTCGGCCGTTAACGCAGACGGCACTGGCGATGTTGTCATCACCGGTGTTGTGCGCGGGCTTGGGTTGAAGGCCGACAGGCTGGTGCAAGTGGGAGATTGGGGTGACTTCCAGGTCGACAAGATCGTAGCCGCTCCACTAGAAACGAGGAAGAAGCACAAAGAGGAAGAGATGGCTGTTGACACAGAAGGCGATGGCATCCTGGAGCGCCCAACGGAAGACCAGGACGACCTAGCAGATCTCGCACCAGAGGAAACAATCATGGATGACGTGACCAACTACGCCACGTCTATTGCGCCCTCTGAGCGCAAGGGCGTCTTGCTAGACGACCACCACTATTTCTCAGACGAGGAGGAGGAGGTCGCGCCGGCCAAAAAGAGGCGGTTACCAAAGGGCACAAGTGAATACCAGTCCGCATGGTATCTCGACGACATGTCCGACTCGGGCTCGGATCTGGAAGACTTCGACGACATGGAAGTTGACGAAGACGCCCAGAGCCAGCCTGCACACCCTGCAGATGGTGTAGAGGGAATGGACGTCGATGGCAAAGCTATGACTGAGGGCGCTCCTTCAGAATACCCCCAATCGGAGATGTTCCTAGACCCATCACCAGAGGACGAGGCTGCACAGATCGAGGAGTACCGGAAGTCTAGGAAGACAGAAGAGGACGAAGATCTTGAGTTCCCTGACGAGATCGAACTACACCCCAATGTGAATGCGCGAGAGCGTCTCATTCGCTACCGGGGATTGAAGAGTCTAAGGAACAGCACATGGGAGACGGAAGAGGATCGACCATACGAGCCGGAAGAGTGGCAGCGGTTGCTCGACATCTCCGACTACAAGCGCACAGCCACCAAGTTCATGCGCGAAGCCTGGGCTGGCGGTGTCAAGCCCGGAACTCGGGTCAGCGTTCACATTCGCGGTGTCCCGCTACAATTCCAGGAGATGCAGTCACGGCCAATGGCCATGTTCTCACTCCTAAGACACGAGCACAAGCGCACAGCCGCTAACTACAGCATACTGCTCAGCTCTGAGCATGATGGCCCGATCAAGTCGAAGACTGAGATGATTGTGCAGTGCGGACCAAGGAGGATAGTAATCAACCCTGTAAGTCACCTTAAGCCTCTATTCTATCCCTCAATACTGATAGCATCCAGCTCTTCTCCCACGCCGGCAACACACCGAACAACGTGCACAAATTCTCTCGCTTCCTCCACCCTGGCCAATCGGCCATTGCATCTTTCATCGGACCTCTAACCTGGGGCAACGTCCCTCTCCTCTACTTCACCCGCACAACCCCCTCTCCCGACCACCCATCCTCCCTTCGCCTAATCGCGACCGGAACATCCCTCCCACCTTCCACCAACCGCATCATCGCCAAGCGCATCATCCTGACAGGCCACCCCTACAAGATCAACAAGCGCGTCGTCACAGTGCGCTACATGTTCTTCAACGACGGCGACGTCAAGTGGTTCAAGAGCTTACCGCTGTGGACGAAGCGCGGAAGGAGCGGTTTCATCAAGGAGAGTCTGGGTACACACGGATACTTCAAGGCTACTTTCGATGGCAAGATCAGCCCTATGGATGCTGTTGCTGTTAGTTTGTACAAGAGGGTTTACCCGAGAGGCGCGAGAGCGTGGAGGGGTGAGCTGGACCAGGCAGGTGAGATGGAACAAGCTGCTTAGAGGCTTACGACGCGTCAATGACTTTTATGATATCATGGGGTTTTAGATAGGCTAAAAAGGGTATGGAGTTTGTTGTTCATCTTTTACGAATAGAGTATCTGAGCCTATACCCGTTCAACAGATCCGTGAAGTAAACGCCGTGAAATGCTGATAAAGACGCGTACTTTTCACTGCCAACGCCAACATGAAGTCTGAAACAGCATCAAGCCAATTCTTCCCAGACTCACTTCCTCGCAAACCTCTCCAGCGCCGGTCCATAATCCTTCTTCAACCTCTCCTTCCTCTCAATCTGCCTCTTCTGCATATTCTTCAGTGCCTCCCTCGCGCGCTCCTTCTCCTCATCAACCACATTCTTCGTCCCACTCTTCCTCAAATACCTCCTCAGCGCCGAATTCCTGCCCTTCCCCCTCTTCTTCAACATATCCACCTTATCCGGCTCCTTCTCGCCCCTCGTAGCGCGGTATTCGCGTTGCCGCTCTTCATTAGACGCGAGATCGAGGTTACCGACGAAATTGGGGTCGAGCGCAATCATCTCGGGCTGGATCTTCTCAAGCAGGGCATGCACTTCTGTTTCGCGGCGCTGCTTGGAGGTTTCGTAGGGGTTGGTGCCGGGCTCGAGGGTGTCGGGGTTGGCTTCTCCGGCGCCGGGCACGATGATGGAGGTGAAGCCCTTGTCGTGCGATATGCCGAGGACGTCTTCGAAGGGGCAGAAGCGCACGCGGCTGACGTTTAGGCCTTCGCCGCCCCAGCCCATGTATGGCATGATGGGGGCTGCGGCGTCTTCGGCGTTCCGGCGGAAGATGTCGTCTTTGTAGATGGAGGTCTGTGTGCCGTAGCCGACGGCTGTGAGGTTGCGGTCGGAGATGGAGAGGGTGGTGCCCGGGACGCGGAGGTGGGTCTGGTACATCTCTTTGAACATGCGGACGTCCCAGACGGACATGCGTCGGTCTTGGGATGTGCTGACCATGTATGTTCCTGATCTGTCAACTGCGATGCTTCGGACGGGGCCCCGGTGTGGGAGGAGTTTGACGAGGGGCGTGGCGCTGTTGGGCGACCAGAGGGTTACGAGACCTTTTTGGTGGCCAACGTGCAGGATGGCGTTGTGTGGATTTTGTGCGAAAGCTGTCGCGGGACCGAGCTTGGTGTATAGTTGTGGTAGTGACTGTCCGGTCGAGACATCGGTGTATCGTATTATACCCGCGGTCGATACCGAGGCGAGGAGGAAGTGGTAGGGGAGGTATTCGAGGTGTGTGGCTTCAGAGTGGTTCTTGAGCTTGTGCATCTCCACGCCGTCGCCCGAGTAGATGTAGACACAGTTCTTCTGTGCGACCGCAAAGTTCTTCTGGTTGCTCGTATGCAGCCATCGCGCGTCTCGCACCGTCTCGGCGAGTTGAAGTTCGCAGCCGACCTTTCCGTCTCGCCAGTCAAAGGTCGCGACATGTCCTTTCCTGCCTGCGATCAACAAGTCCCGGCCGTTGCGACTGTACTCGCATACATCGTAAGGACCCAGACCGTCTAACTTCAACTCGAAGCCTTTCTTCGCCGTCTCCATACCAACTTCCCGCTTGATTTCATCTTGTCGCACTTTGTATGTTCTTTCCAGCTCATTTTCGGTTTCCAATAGTCCTGGGTTGTTCTCGAGCAGAACTTCGACATTCTTCGCTTCTATCGCCGCCTGCTTGTTCTTCACCTCAAGCGATGTAATGTTTCTCCGCAGCTTCTTATCCTTGACTGTTTTCGGCCGTATGCGGTCGCCGCGCCCATATTGTTTTGTGGCTGATTCGGTGAATTCGGCGATCGCGCGGGTGTCTTCGTCGTCTATGGGCGCTGCGTTTTGCGACTTGCGCCGCGGTTGCGCTGTGCTGGGCTTGGAGCCGCGTTCGGTGGCCATGATGCAGGTGCGGTGGCTGACAGCCTTTGGCGACAGTGGATAAATTGATTCGCTCCGTAAGCTAGTTTTGTGACTGGTGAATCCACTGCATGTATTCGCTGAGAGTGTATGCGCAAAGGGTTCCTGGTCGCGAATGCCCCAATCCTAGAATTATTTCTGCCGGCGTTCACCGCTTCGAAATCTTGGCGACACTAGTGATGCACAACCCAAACTCCACGCCTCCCTCACCATCACTAAACTTCTGTTCCGCTGACTTCACGTGAAATCAAACACCATCTCCGCTGATATCCGTCGAAGTCCTCAGGTCGGGGTCATCTAGATTATCTTGATCAGGCTTTGCAAGTGGTAGCATCTCAGCGTGGCATTCACCTTATGGCCTCCGCACGAGAGTTATGTTTGCGTGCCGACATCCTTCCTTTCGGGGTTTCCAAGGCTCGCACTGGACGTAGAGATGGCCTTGGAACCGAATGTACCCTTGGTCTGTTTATTCGTGCTTGATGTAAGGTCCATCGCCTCGGCATTGCTCGACATTTGAAGCTGAGGTGACGGTTGAGCGGCTGTTTGAGCTTGAGCATCTGCAGCCGCTAGAGCTTGAGCTTGAGCGTCAGCTGCTGCTTGAGCTTGTTGAAGCTGGAACGCAGCAGCGCGGGCACGCATTTTAGCCTTTCTGGCCTCTGATGGCTCCCCATTTTGTCCCTTACGACCCATGGCAGTAGTCAAAGAGAGATTGGAAAAAGATTGAGGGGGCTGGAGGAGCTGGAGATGTAGTAGGGTTTTAGACAGCTTCAAGGCTGTGTGCTCAGTGTGTATGCTCAGGTGCTCGTACAGGAATCCAGACGATGACTGCTACTCAGCGCCGAGATCGCAGTATCACATGCTACACATGTGTTGGGCAGCTGCAGCTTCTCTCACTGGCTCCTGCCTTCACCTTGAGTTCGGCCCAAACAAACAGCGTGTACCTTTAGGCTTCGCTTAGGCATCCCTCTTTTATTCCCACCGCCGTACAGGGTCTCAGGGTCTCTCATCAACCCCATTCCACTCTCTCGTTCTCATACTTCACATACTACTCTACAACACTAGTCGCCAACGATGGGAGGCCGCCGCAATGTGCACGCTTACAATCAGGATGAGATCGACAGGTACGTACAAATAAGATTGACCGGAAATGCCATCGACAGCATGATTACTATTGAAACAACCCAGTCGCAGTCCAATTTGACGCGCTGCTAACCATTCTTCCCAGGCTCCAGGGTATCCCGCTTCCCATGAAGATCAAGTGCGGCCGGTGCCACAAGAACCTCCCCCAAGTCAAGTACTCCACCAAGCAGCTGACCGATGCACGACACCAAATCAAGACCTCAAGCAAGATTTTCAAGCCCATCAACTGCCACAGTTGCACTGGGCAGCAGAAGGTCGAGATCGAGTGCACCATGTGTGGCAAGACGAAGGGCTTGGAGGAGTTCGCAAAGTCTCAGCGCGCCAAGCCCGACACTGCCAAATGCTTCAAGTGTGTTGAGGCTCAGCTCGCTGATGAGGCCGTCGATGAAGACCGCTATATCGAACCAGATAGGGCCTTTGTTCCGCCCGACCACTCACAGGGTCAGTTTCCCGAGTACTGGTCCGCAGCTACTAGTGAAACATCTTCTACTTATGTGAGTTTTCTACAAGGGCTGTCTGTGGCCGTCATACTGATCTGTATAGGGGGATGATGAGTGGAAGACTGTCAACGGCATCAACCGACGAACCGAGCGCAAGGACATTGAAGACGGAGGTATTGCGCTGTCGGCTAGCTTCCAGAAGGCTATGTCCATGAACGGTGAAGCAGACGAGAGCCTCATCGGCACTGAATACTCCTTCCCGGCTGGCCATGGAAACGCCGACACTGACAGCTGGAGCGAGGTCCGCACCAAGTCCTGGCACACCCAGTCCAATGCGGCTCCTAGTGCGAGCTCAGGCTTCAGCCCCAACGCCTATCGTCGCTCGACTTCCTCCGTCACCGGCTCGTCCCACACCTTCACCTCCAGTGTGGCTGAGCGATCTGACACTTCGGAGATCCGCCCCAATGGATGGGCCAAGATTCGTGCTGCTCCTCGAGGTCCTCCTATGGTATGTTCAACGATGAATCCTTCAGATCTTGAGTGTTGGCAAAAAAAAAATACTGACTATTTCATAGATGCCTATGGGTGATACTGTCCGACAGACAGGGTCCACTGTCGATGCTTGGGACTCGGATGAGGAGGAAGACGAAGAAGACGAGGACGATGATGACAGTGACGACGACACAGTCATCTAGTCACTTGATCCCGGTATATGGAGATCACAGAGATTGACAAATTTGCACAACGGACAAGGTCCTGTTCTGCAAGGGGATGCGGGAGTTTGGATTGGACTGGCGTTTGATGTGTACATGGATTATTTGATTTAGCTGTGGTCATGACAGCGAATTGTCTACCACGTGCTGTCCCACCGGAGGGACGTACATAGGACTACAAAAGTTGAATTCCTGAATCGATAGCGTTATGGATAGCCCTATCGCGCGACTATGGTGACAGTGAAATGAACGCTGTCAGGGGTAGACTAATCCGGAAAAAGCGACTAATTGCCACCACGTGATTGCGCGCCGTACCCCAACGCGCCTTCCTGCGCATGTCCCACCCCACTCACACCCAGCGCAGTCGCTCCACCACGACTGTACCGCAACACCTTCTTTCAAATCACTTTCGTTTCAATCGCTCTTACAGTACGAAATAGATACAGGCATCATGTACGTCAAGTTTCGCTATTCGACTTTATGGGCGCGCAAGACTAATGAGTGGCGACAGGAGCGGACGACGACCTAGAGGCGCAGGCATTCGGGGGCCGCACTCTGCCTTGACAGATTTTCTGGCCGTGAGTGACATCTGTTCTGGGGACAAGCATGCCCAACATTCAAGACTTGCGAAATGAAGATCGAAAGCGGCTGGGTTCTTGCTCGATAGCGGCCGCGCAAACCTCAGTGGGCGAGGCTTGAGAGAGACACTCGCTAATATCTCATTATCAGGCGAACAACATCTCTGCAGCAGAGATCCGCGATTCGTACGAACAGCGTCGTCAACAAGCCGAGCGAGACGCAGCAGAAGCAGGAGATAATGGCGAGGGACCTTCAAATGCCGGTGAAGAGGACGAAGATGTCGAGGAGGACGTACAAGCCGAATCCTCCGCAATGGCAGCCGAGCGCACCCGCAAACGTAAGCGCAACCAAGATGAGGCCATAGCGAAGATCAAGAAGGGCAAGGCGGCGAAGAAGGCATCAAAGAAGAAGAGCAAGAAGAAGGGCTCAGACGATGAGTCCGACTTCGAAGATGCGATGGACATGTACAAGAAGGCGAAGCCCCTCCCTGGTCAATTGGAGAATTGCGAAATTTGCGACAAGCGATTTACCGTCACACCATACAGCAAAGCTGGTCCAGATGGTGGACTCCTGTGTACACCATGTGGAAAGGAGATGATCAAAGATGCAAAGGCAGAGAAGAAGTTGGCTAAGCCAGTTGTGCGAAAGGGTCGCAGGAAGATTGAGAGCAACCGCCTTGATGGTATGACACAGCGCGGACCCAAAACACTTCAACAATTGTGTATCGAGAAGCTCGCGAAACATTCGGAGGACATTGACGAGCTGGGCGAGATGCCAGAGGGTATCATGAACCGAATCAGCGAGATCTTCTCCAAGAAGCGAGCGATGAACTCCAACACGATGAAGCTGTTCCTCCAGTCAGACATGCAGTCAATCGCAATTCATGAGGCAGCATATCTCGAGACGGAGGACTACGACCAGATCTTTGCCGTTTGCCCAAATGTCAAGCGTCTGTCGCTGCGCAACTGCTGTCAGTTCAAGGATAGCAACATCGACTACATGAACGAGAAGGCGAAGGCACTCGAAGAGATTCAGCTGCTAGGAGCCAACCTCGTCTCCAACGACAAATGGATTGAACTCTTCATTGCTAGGGGCCAAGATCTCAAGTCGCTGAAAGTTGAGTGGTTAGACGCCGCGTTCGACGACCAAGTAGTTGAGGCACTTTCCACCTTCTGCCCCAACCTTGAACGCCTCAAGATTGAGCGCTGCAAGAAGATCGGCCCGGACAGCATCGACGCCATTGCTCACTTGAAGCGCCTGAAACACCTCACACTCCGCTTCTACGACCCCATCACCCGCGAGAAGCTCGTCCATCTAGTCGACTCAGTTGGCGACAACCTCCGCACCCTCTGCCTAGAGCACTTCCTGGACAACACAACAGAGCCTACCGATGACGTTCTCGAAGCCATCCACAACAAGTGTCACTATCTCAGCAAGTTCCGCTTCACAGAGAACCACGAATGCACCGACGCTGGCTACGTGAAACTCTTCACCAACTGGACCAACCCACCGCTCCACTACATCGACGTCAACTCAACCCGCGACCTAGACAACACAAACCCCGACGGACCCGAAGACGAGCCTATCGGCCTCGGGTCCAACGGTTTCCGCGCCCTAATGGCCCATTCGGGCTCGCGCCTCGAATTCCTAGACATCTCCTCCTGCCGCCACATCTCACATGCCACCTTCACAGAAATCTTCGACGGCAAGAAGGAATATCCTCATCTCCGCGAGATCAACCTCTCCTTCTGTCCCGTCGTCGACACGGAGATTGTAGCTGGTGTCTTCCGATCATGTCCCGCTATCAAAAAGGTAGTCACGTTTGGTTGCTTCCAGGTCGCTGACGTGGTGGTGCCGAGGGGTATCGTGTTGATCGGAGCGCCGAGGGCACAGGATCAGATTGAGCAGTTTGGTGAGGTGGTGTTGGATTATCAGAGGGAGAATGAGGAGAGTATGGGGCATATGCGTGCTATGGGGCGGATTGTCCCTGTTGTGGGCTAGATGGTGTCAGGATTCTCGCAAAGATGTGGGGAGTGGATTTTTCAAAAGCGGTGTATGGGCGCATGTATGGTATGGCGTACTGGAGCATTTACACGTTCATGGCTAATGGTCATTACGGGTATATGAGCTTTTCCGTCGGTTGTGTGCGACATGATTTAGATACATATAGATGTCAATCAGTACGCATAAGACTCCGCATTGAGTATGCGGATGCGGATGCTGGATGCTAATAGATACATGATACATGATACTCCTCAAACGCGACTCCTCGCTTGCCCAAATCGTCAATGGGTGATAAGTAACAGCGTAGCTACGTGTATTCTCAAGTCCAACGGATGAGCTGAGTGGGACATACGTTGTCCTCTGCAACCCCAGCTTAGATATATCACCCCACTAATTTTGTCCCACTCATACCTTGCTCAACCAGATCATGAACCCAAATTGCACCACATAGCTATACACAAACAAAAACTGCGTCCTCCTCGACTTCTGACCAGTCTTGATATCCTGAGGATATCCCACGGGAGCAGGAGCGCCAAAGGCGTCTTGTGGTTTGTTGTCAGGCAACAGCACGTATTTCAGGCTCCTCAACAAGAAGAACGAGTTCGCGCTGAAGCAGTAAAGGAATATGACCCAGCCGACCCATGAGCTACTGAAACCGATCCAATTGGCCAAGTTGGTGATGAGCAGCGATACGATGACGTGGACGAACTTGTAGCCGCTGTACGCTACGAGGTCGAGGAGTTGCGAGGAGCTGCTGATGGCGAGGAGGAAGGTGCCGGTTCGGATGATGAGGATCTCGAGTAAGGTGACTGCGATTGCGACTGTAGCGGTCTTGCCCAGGAGTTCGGGATTGAAGGCGCCGCGCAGACCTGCGAAGAGTGTTGACAGCAGAATGTAGGTCACCAGGGCCATGGTGGGTATGTACATGTCTGGTGAGTTGACATCTTCTCGTGGAGGTTGATATAGCAGTGCGGCGGACGCTGATGGATCGGCCGTGTGTTGCCGTTGGCGCGACCAGGGACGGTGCCACCATGGGAAGAGGATGATGCGTAGTTTGTTGAGGACGTAGGAATTTGTGACGTTGAAGTAGTGCTTTAATGCGGACACTGAGACAAGACGTCCTAGCTGGAATGTTGTTAGCAAGTTGTTCATGAATGGGATGCCAGCGCTATGCCTTGTGGACATACATTCTGTTCCATGTAGTGCTGCCCAGCGTCCACGGCGCTCTTTCCCATCTGGAACCCTAGCTGAGCAGTGGGGTCGTTGATGAAGCCGCCGAACGACGGGTGCACGCCATATCCGCCTTGTTGAGGCGGCATGCCACCTGCCTGTGACCCGTAGCCATAGCCGCTCTGTGGTTGTGAAGGGGGTTGCGGGGGAGGTGGTGACCGTAGCTGGGGGACTGTGGAAACGTGTTGTGGGACGGGGTGGTGTACTTGATGGAGTCAGTACACGGCATCTACAGGAGGCATGATGGGACGCGTCCTAATACGTACAAGGTGGTGAATGCGCCGGTGGTGGGTTGCCGTAGTTGGGGCGCTGCATGGCTGCGCGTCGGGGTGCTGGTCGGTGTAGCGAGTGCGGTGTCTAGGAGAATGAAAAAGACAAAGAAGCCCGAGTTTTGTGATGCGCAATTGGACACGTCGCCGTCAATGTTGGTTGAATTTCTGCCTTGAGCTGCGGTGTCGTTGGCACCTCCGAATTCCGACCATCTGGCAAGAGCGTGCACGGCCCGTCGTCATATCCCACATGTGCCCGCCGCACCACCACCACGTCTCCCTTCCGCAACCTTCCCGCCGCCTTTCACCCTCGCCATGTTGGATACCTTCGAGATATTGACTACCTCCGGCGTAGTCTTGTGGTCGCGCACATATGTCCCGGTCGGCGCAAACGTCATCAACAGTTTAATCCGGGATGTCTTCATCGAGGAGCGCGTGCAACCTCACGCCGAAGATGCCGGCGCCAAACCTACGTACAAGAAGGAGGGATATACTCTGAAGTGGACGGCGGCGAAGGATCTTGGCCTCATCTTTGTGGTATGAACGCAGTCCTCGTTTCGCCAATGGATCGAGATAGGGCCATGGCGCATTGCGACGTAGATATGCGCAACAGCTGACTTTGCCATAGGCCGTATATCAAAGTCTAGTACACCTGACCTGGGTCGACAAGCTCCTCGATAACGTACGCGCACTCTTCGTCGGCCTCTATGGCGAGCAGCTGAAGACGGAGCACAGCAGTGTGGTCAACTGCGACAAATTCGGCGCCTACTTCGACCGACAGATGCATGACTTGGAAGGTGCCAGCGACTCTGGCGCACCAAGCATTAAGCTCACGACTCCCGAATCGAGTACCGATAACGACAGCGCCGACGAAAGCGTGCCCAAGCCAACGGCATTACAGAAACCACAGCAGTCCTTGTACGATACGAGCGCCGATTCAACACCAGTGCCCACGCCAGACACCTCGAGACCTACTACACCGGCGCAAAGTCAGCTTTTGACTGGAAAGGCAAGACCGTTTGGAGGGAAGATGTCACGGCGAGACAAGAAGAAGGCGTCGGCATTCAGCTCAGCACCAGTGTCATCGGGTGACGAAGCATCAGCCAAGAAGAAGGGCAGGGGCTCAGCCAAGAAGGGCAGAGTGTGGGGCGAATTCGGGGCCGAAGAACAGGACGACTCTGTGCTCGACTACTCGCAATCAGACATCCAGGGCGACGCCTCTGGGAACGAGGCGCTCGAGGAGATCCGACCAGAGACGTGGGGCCACAAGACAAAGAAGGGCGAGTTCGTGCTCAAAGATCTCGACGAAGAGATGGACGAGATAATCGCAGCACAAAACGCGAAGAAGGACAAGGAAGCACCCGCTGCCTCGGGTGGGCTAGTAGGGTCCAGTTTGGGTGCCATTGGCGGCCTGTTCAGGAACGTGGTTGGCGGCAAGACACTCACCAAGGAGGATTTGGCAAAACCACTTAAGGGAATGGAACAGCACCTCCTTCGCAAGAACGTGGCTCTCGAAGCTGCGGTGCGATTGTGTGAGAGCGTCGAGCGCGATCTTGTGGGCATGAAGACTCCCAGCTTTACCAGTCAGTTGACACGCCTAGCCCCCACTATACGTAGCTACTAACCATTGCAACAGCAATCGAGACGACGCTCAAATCCTCCATGGAAAAGGCTCTCACCAAGATGCTCACTCCTACGTCCTCCCTGGACCTCCTACGCGAGATTCAACACACCAACGCCACTACATCCCGCCCCTACGTCATCTCCATTGTCGGTGTAAACGGCGTAGGAAAGTCGACAAACCTATCCAAGATCGCCTTTTTCCTGTTGCAAAACCACCACCGCGTGCTCATCGCAGCAGCGGATACATTCCGTTCTGGTGCTGTGGAGCAACTACGCGTACACGTAGATAGATTGAAGGAGCTATCGCAAAGAGAAGGAGGTCAGGTCGATTTGTTCGAAAAGGGCTATGGCAAAGATGCCGCCAACATTGCAGCGGATGCCGTTACCTTTGCCTCGAAGAACAGCTTCAACGTGGTGCTCATCGACACCGCTGGTCGCCGACACAACGATCAACGTCTCATGTCTTCGCTTGAGAAATTCGGCAAGCTAGCCAACCCAGACAAGATTCTCATGGTGGGTGAAGCGCTTGTCGGCACAGACTCTGTTGCACAGGCACGCAACTTCAACGCTTCTTTTGGCGTTGGGAGAAACCTCGATGGATTTATCATCTCAAAGTGCGATACCGTCGGCGATATGGTGGGTACACTGGTGTCGATGGTGCACGCGACAGGCATTCCAGTGGTATTTTTGGGTACCGGGCAACATTACAGTGATCTAAGGACACTTAATGTTAGTGCCATTACGAGACTGCTCATGAGCTAAGTTTTCTACGGATTACCGGAGCCCTGTATTATAGTCTATCAATTTTAGTAATGATGAATCTCTGACCAGAGTAGGGAATCGCAACATAAGAACCCACTGCCCCCAAGTTGAATGCCAATGCAAGCCCATGTCCAGTCAAGCTTCAAGCGTGACTAGTGACCCACAAACCCCATTGTGGCGCCTGGAGAAAACCTGATCTTCGTCCCGTTGAAGCTTAGATGTGGCTAAGTCACTGCGCCATAACCGTTTTGGCAGAATTTGGCTGTAAGGCCCGCCCGTACACATACACTCGCAAAAGATCCTCACACGATGTCAACGACGATGTTGTTGGCCAGCGCTGCACGGGAATTGCCGTTGAACGGCAAAAACGGCAGGCTAGGTGTAACGGAGCAATGCCCAGCAGCTCTTGTTGAATGCATGACCTTGTTTTGCAGAGATTGTGCGAGTTTCGCGTTGGGCAAATGACGACACAGACGCTCGCCCCCGCGTGCGCCTTCGACGTTCACGCCTCCCAAGCTTTACAGCATGCGCGCTATCGTCTTGGATCGACGTAACCGGTAGGCTAGATCATCCTCCAGCCTCTAACCAACCTGCGTTCCAGCCTCCGGCCTCGCGCGACTTGCCCCTGGTTCATCTTGTTTGGTAGAGCATGCGACTAGTCGGAACGCGTGTGCCGACCATGTACTATGACACTGAATGTTTATGGGGAAACGCCAGAGTCTGGGTGCTATGATGCAAGCGCCGTTATGGAAAGGGTGTAACCAGGGCCGGTACATCAAAGGCAGCTCGACCTGTTAAAACCACACTGAAAACGACACCCTCGTTTCGTGGCCTCATTCACATCCTCGACGTCGCGCACCATGTCTTCACCCAGCGCGTCTTCGCGGTCGGGTAGCCACCGCAGCAGCTCTTCGTCAGTATCTGCTTTGTATTCAACGCTGGTACCATGTATAGTGGTCTCTGGAATCCTCGTGGGTGCTTTCTTGCTATTGCGAGCAAAACAGAGGCGTTTATACGCACCACGAACTTTCCACGATGCGCTTTTCGAAGAGTACGTTTCATCATATATCTGCCTCCACATTTTCCATCGAGACTGACGAAGAACACAGTGAGAAGACTCCATCGGCCGGTTCGAGCAAATTCGGCTGGATCAAGAAGTTTATGCACATCAGCGATGACTACGTCCTCAACCACCACTCCCTCGATGCCTACCTCTACATGCGCTTCCTCAAGGTACTCACACTCATGGCTTTTGTCGGTGCTATCATCACTTGGCCAGTGCTATTCCCTGTCAATGCCACTGGCGGAGGTGGTGAATCCGGCCTAGATATCATCAGCTTTTCTAATGTCGAAAACGACGTTCGCTACTTTGCCCATGCGCTCATGGCCTGGGTCTTCTTCGGCTGGGTCTTGTTCCTAATCGGAAGGGAGATGCTATACCTTGTCAAGGTCCGAAAGGCCTACCTGTTGTCCACCTGGAATGCTAGTCGCATCTCGCAACGAACAGTTCTCTTCACCGACGTACCGGAGAAGGATCTATCGCTTGAGAGTTTACACACCGCGTTTCCACAAGTGGCCCAGATCTGGTTGGTACCTGACGTCAAGGACCTAGAAGATGACGTTGAAGAACTCGAAGAAAATGTACCCAAGCTGGAGGCCAGCGAGATCAAGTTCATGGCAGCTGCCACTAAGCAGCAGCAGAAGAAGGGTAGCGAGAAGAACGCAACCTACGACAAGGCATTGCGACCGACACACAAGCTGAAGCCCCTCATTGGACACAAGGTCGACTCCATTGGCTACTACCGCAACCAGATCAAGGAGCTGCTACCCAAAATCCAATCGGCTCAACAGTCCCATCTCGCTGGGAGGGAGAAGCTAGCCAGTGCTGTCTTCATCGAATTTGACACGATGGCCGCCGCCGAAGCCGCTTTCAACGAACACCAACATCGCAGACCAGCAAGTTTTGAATCCCGCCAGATGGGTGTCCTGCCTGATGAGATCATCTGGAAGAACCTCGGTATGGGCTCCAAGAACAGAAAACTCCGTCATATCCTTGCGAATATCTTCATTGCGCTTCTGATTATGTTCTGGGCCATTCCTGTCGCGATTGTTGGTATCATCAGCAACGTCAACTATCTCACAGAAAACGTACCGTTCCTGGCATGGATTGACTCGATTCCCGGTCCGATTCTCGGTGTAGTCACTGGACTTTTGCCTACCATTCTTCTCGCTGTACTGATGGCATTGGTGCCCATTATCTGCCGCTGTAAGTTGTCCCCGAGTTCCCTACTCCCAATGCATACTAACGAATTTTAGTCGTCGCCAAACTTGCAGGAGCGATAACTCTGTCCGAAGTCGAGCAGCAGACGCAAACCTGGTACTTTGCATTCCAGGTAATCCAGGTCTTCCTCATCACAACCTTCACTTCCAGTGCCACCGCCGTCGCCAGTCAAATCGTTAGCAATCCGGCATCGGCTGTCTCACTACTGTCCAAGAATCTTCCCAAAGCTTCCAACTTCTACATCTCGTACTTCATTCTGTATGGACTTGCCAACGCTGCAAGGTACCTTTTCAACCTGATGGGACTAGTGGGCGTGTTCATCCTGAGCAAGTTCGCAAAGACCCCGAGAAAGAAGTACATGCGCTATGTGTCATTCACGG